GCAAGTACACTCAAAATTTTTTTCAAAATCGCCGGGTGCCCTAAAAACGAATATTTACTGATCTATTATTCAATTCAGGTCCGTCGTAAAATAAAATGAGTTTTTTGAGTTGTGACGTTATTTTTACCGTTATGTTACTATGTAGATACACCCAGCGATTATTCAGTTTATCCGAACATATGTAAGAGCGTTCCTAATCTGTTACAAACATTACCGCATAAATCAAGGTAACAAGCTCAACACCAATACTCAAAAAAAAAAAAAACAAACCAAAGCTAGACGGGCGCAAGGGCTCCCTGGTCCAATTCGGCAGCTCCGCCTCTTACATGTCAGCCGATGTTTACAAATAAAACGCACACTTAATCGAGAGGGTCCTAAACAAACAAACGACGATCGAGCGGTAGATCGCAATCGCTTCGAGAAAGTTGGTCGCGCGCTGGAGTACTCCAAAGCTCGCGCCGTAAACCACTGATTCGCAACCGGCGTCGGAACAAATGATGAAGCGGCTACAGGTGTCAGCGGATCGCGCCATGCGCCATGGATCCACCTCCGCCGCTGGCGCTGATAACACCGAGTGGACGGAACACCTTATCACTACCTATCAGCAGCGTTGCCAGTTACAAAGACATTTCTTTAGATACACGGATAATGTTAAAACTCTGGTGTAGCGACTAATTTTGAAGGGACTATTATCACAAGATGGCAGTGCATAGCTCTTAAGGGAAACAAAGATTGTCAAAGTGACATTTTGTATCGACATTTCCGCGACATCGTCACAAAATTCCTGTAGTGAAAGTATTGTTGACGTAATTCGAAAGATTACACTGGATCGAAAGTGGTAGGCGAAGTAATAATGTGAATATTTGTGTGAAATAGAGAATTTACCACGGAATTTTCCGAAAGTAAAGCCATAAAGGCTCAAATTGTTACAAAGGGGCTTCCAACAGGAACTTCTGAACTTTGACAATTGATTGATGATGATGATTTTTTGGGCCATTGTAGTTTACAGTTACAGAATATAATATTTAAGCTACAAAAGAGGTCTTTGAGATACCTTACAAAGTCTAAGCCGAGAGATCACTGCATTCTAGAAAAATTTTTAGATCGACTTATTGCAAAAAATGTATTGAAATATGCTTTTTTGATAACCAGCTATCGCCCCCCTACGAACAACAACCCTCAAAAGTCTAAACTAACATGAGAATTAACAAGGTCTCACTTTCCTATTTGCTATTCCTAAAACGGAAATTCCTGGTTTTCGTAAAGATTGTATCACTGAGATATTCTCAGCTGAATACATTGATATAAGAACAATATATCAATTCTTGAATTAAATCAATTGTATTATATGAAAAACGAGAAAATTCAACAAGAACATTTGTAAGCAGTACCATTTATTAAAGAGACGATGTTGGAATATATGAACAGAGTACGTAAGTGACTATTTTTCAACAACAGGATTTTATTGTTGAAATTTATCGTGCTTTGACTTGAGACCGCAGAGCCGCCACCGGAAATGTATTTACTATACGTCGCGTATTCTTTTGCCACTAATTGAGAATGATGTTTTGATTCGAATTAAAAATTACTTATTATAACAAAAAGTTTCGATTTAGATATTGAGATTTCTGAATTTCATACATAAATTGTTGGTTTTCAATGTGGTGTTTGAACTGTTGCCTTATTTTTGTGAGGTTATGTGAATCAGTGGAATGTGTCTATTCGTTTTTCAATTCGGTATCTTGTATCTGTTCATTATATCTGTGAGTTTAATTAGTTAGGGTCTTGTCATTTTCATAATCATAATATCAAATTAAACCTGTGAATTTCTGTAGAAGCATTTATGCAAAGTTTTAACAATCACTCACAATCATATTTGAATATTTTATTCCATTGGTTCAATTTGATTAGGACAGTGACAAGTGACAATTATTGGAAGTGTGAAAATGGTGCATAACTAGGCCTTGAGAGTCATGTATGATTCAAGAATAATGACACCTAGATGGTCATATCTTGGCTGTCAGCTTTATCGCTGGTGGGAAAGAAGTTTCATAGCATAGCTGTAGAACTTTGTAAAACTCTCATTATTTTATCGATTTGAAGAAAATAATCGCAATAAAACAAACAGACAATTGCGTAGGGAGTTTTTATATACAATATGTAGTGATTTTTAGGAAATTATCACAATCATAAACTAAGTGAAGTACTTACCTTCAGAAAGTTGAAACATATGAAAGTCAATCTGTTTCAAATATTGATAAATATAATTTTATTGTCTGTCATATCAACTAGCCTTTCACCACAAAGTCTTGATTGACATTTCAGTTATCGTCGTCTAGTGAGTACAATAGTACGAAACAAACAGAAAAATCAAGACAAAACTCCCACGACTCGTGTTGTTGACAAGCATAAGAATCGAGATGAAAAATCAAACTCGCGGTGCTTTGTCTACAAAACCTGAACACACAGATAAAATAGGGCGCTGGCTTTTTTACGTTATTTGTTCATCCAAAACATAATCGCGATATCAACCTTCACGGTTTCGATTCAGCGGCTGACACGGCAAAATGAATTGTTCCCGATACAGCAGAAATACATCGAGGAACAAACAAAATTAAGCATTTTTAAATTCAATGAAAACGCTGCTCAGTGGGAACGACAAAAGGCTCTTCGAGGTCATAGAAACATTTCTGAAGTGTTTTGATTTCCTAGTTCTCTATCATTGAACGGGAAATGTAGGAAACTTTCGAATAAAGTTCATATGACTGGGGTTAGATTAACTAACCGTATGAATGTTAATATTAACTGTCAAATTGACAAAAGTAGAGGTGTGCCTTCCGATGACATAAAGTCATAATGTGGTAATAGAAACAATTGCTGCGTTTTGTAATGTTATTCAAAATGATGCTGATGAAAAGATGAAGTGAAAGTTTTGACCCAAAACTTCAAAGTACACCATTGAGGTTTTTTCTTTCAGTTTGTATCTGAAATAAACTTTTTTGCATGATCTTCATATCTCTATAAAACTTTTCATTGTAGTTTTTCTCTTATAATGATGCATTTGATAGTTTTCCAGATTTTTGTTAAATAATGAGAAATTGAAATCCGAAAAACTCTTTTTCCACGAAACATCTCTTCAAAAAAGACGTTCATTGTAGTTTTTCTCTTATAATAATGTATTTGATAGTTTTCCAGATTTTTGTTAAATAATGTGAAATTGAAATCCGTAAAACTCTTTTTCCACAAAACATCTCTTCAAAAAAGATGGTCTTTTCAATTTTTGAAGTGATTTGAATTCCCTTTTGTATATTTTCGTGTTTGCAGCAGATTTAATTTCAGGCGGTAATATATTATAAAGTAGAATGCCGGCACCCTCTGATGAGTTTTAGAATTACTCATGATGATGTTTCTACATGAAGATATTTTTCTATATCTAATTCGTGTTGGAAATACCAAAAGTTTTGTTATTTTATAATAAACAATTTCGACCTCTAAATAATTGAGCAAAATGTCCACCTTCTGATAAAATACACGACTGCAATCGATTTGTCATTGATTGTCTGACACGTTAAAAAATACCTGGAGTATTCCTTATGACATTGCAATTGTCAATTATTCGATTCCTCAAGTTATTCACATCTAGTACAGGAGTTTTATAAACGAGAGCCTTCAGATGACCCCATAAACAGAAACTTAGAGGATTCATATTAAGATTGCGAGCTGGCCAATTTTGAAATACTGCACGTCCAATCCAGCGATTAACTTAGGTGATATCGAGATACTGACGAACAAGAACACTAAAATGAGCTGAAACCCCGTCGTGCATGAACCACATGTTGCCTCTTACAAGTACCGGCACTTCTTCTAACACAATGGGTAAATGATCTCGCAAAAAGTACGTGTAGGATTCACCTGTTAATCTTTCTGCTAGAAAAAATGAATCAATTAGGTAGTCACTAATCATACCTATCACTAATCATTCCCACCCAAACGTCAGCGAAAATTTTTGCTGAAAATGACTCCAATAACGTAGGGATATTCGTCGACCCAAAAAATGTGCTCTTTCGTAAATGAATAATTGGTAAAAAATTATTATTGTGCACCATCGTATGAATCAACCACCTACAAAACATTAATCTTGGGTTAAAATCCCGAGACAATAGAGCTTGGACCCGCTGTATGTGATAGGGGTAGAGGAGGTTTATTTTTAGAACTCATTTGTTGTGAGAGGTGCGGTTTTATTAACGGTTCCCTGTGGAATTGCGAGTAAAATTTTGAATTTTTTCGAAATACTTTCTTGTAACTTAACAGTCAACAATCACAATTTTTCATACCTAACCTGCTTCACAAACCCACACCCAACAACATTTATTCGTTACAGGTACCAGACTAGATACATATTCGTGAAAAAGGGATTTCAACGAAAAACTTCGTAGACAAAAGGATAAATACTTTTCTCAACGGCAAGTCGTATATCTCAAGTGATATCACTTATTTCATCTTGAAAACTGCTTCGCATTCAACTATCGGTCTGTAGTACAATTCCATAATAGTAGGCACTAAATTCTCAGAAATATTATTGCATTAAAATGAAAACATTGTTGTCAAGGTTGTGATTCTATATATTTCATCTCCATTTTTCCTCATCTGTTTAATATAATTTCTGTACGTCACTGCAAGACAGGTTATGGTAAAAACGTCAGTCATTTCTGAGGATGTATTACCTACCATTTTTGAATTGTAGTATAGTATTATTTTCCAAGTCACGGATTATTTTTGGCAGTAATGAAGGAATTTTTGGAGCATTATTGACCGTTTCATAGCATTATTGAACGAACGACCATGTGGCAAGAATTGCTGAAGTACTACGCTACAGTAATCGAGAAAAACAGGCAGCAAAATCTTGACATTTGATCTAACTTGCTTTTTTGTCTTAGTATAAGCAAAACGCACCTAAAGTGACGCAAGATGTCACTCGATTTCCGTGACATCTGACAGCAAAGTGGTTTTATGTTTCAAAAGTAAAAAGTAAGGTTGTTTTTTGTGTTTATTTGTTATTGATGTGAAGGTTATATACATATAATTTAAAGGGACTTACCCAAACTTCTGCCCAATTTCTTTCAATAAAGGTACTTTGAAATTTTATAATGGGGGTTACAATATTGACCCAGTACCATACGGAAAATAGATCAGGACCCCAAATTATAGACATTCTCTCAAAACGAATTACAGAATTGGGTGCAGTTCAACAAGGTCAATTCTTGGTAGACTGCGAAACATACACCTCTGTTCCGCAGCTAGGACATCAAAGGACGGTACATGTCCTCCACAACTCCGAACAACCTGCCACAGTTTTCTCTTTGCTTGAAACTGGGAACAAAACCATTCCGCTAGCAACTGACGGTCTCTTCGACCTGCTAATGATGAAAATGTCCCACTTTTACACCTCAAAGAAACAGACCAAAGCAGAGTCGAAGGGGCCTAGGTTTGAAATAGGTGACTTTTGTGTTAAACTTGGATCAGTGACGGTGAGCAGCAATTTCAAGGGGATTCTAGTGGAAGTGGAATATAGACCTTGCGTGGTGCCCGCAATGTGTTGGGATTTGCTGAAGGAGTTCTTGCAAGGGTTCTTGGGTTTGGCCGGACCTACAGCACCCCCAACGTATCTCCAGAATAGGATGCAGGAGATATACTCCCCCATTGACACTATTCATCAGTACTTGGAACATTTTACGATATTCAGGAAGTCGCCTGGGATAGGAATTAGGACATAGTTATCGTTTCCACTAGGAGATGTGAAAAGATTTTATTTTCCTGTTTTCCTAAAAATTGAGAAAACCCCCATTTTACTGAATTCATATAAATTTGACTGTCAGATCAGCTGGCTGAATTTTTAATCAGTTATAATTGAAGTAACTTAAAATATACTTTTTATATACTCTGTCTTAAATTATTTATCAATATTAGAGGGTTGTAACATCAAAGTACTTTAGGTAATTTATGTTTTATTTATTCAAATAAAAAATAGAGCTTTTGAAAAACCATCTCACCACATGTTCACAAATTATACATGGAAATTGAAAATCCCTTTCTCTTCGAAACCATTGAAGTTTCGTAAGACTTTCTCAGTTATTATCGATTCTTTGGATAATACCATCGATACTGGTTTGTGTATTTTCAACAAACCACAAAAATCATGTTGAACATGTTCATTGAACTTTCAACTTTCTAAAAAGTGTGATTTGTTCAAATGATTTTCTATTGCACCACTTTACTTGAACTTCGCCATTATTCTTGACTCAGTTCTGACAAAATACGTTTTGGATATCTAGACGACAGTATAAAATTTTATAATTGTCACACAGATAAACTTTTCTGTACTGTAGTTCATCAAAAATATCATACACGTGTGGGTATGGTGTATTTTGCCACATATTAGCGCATGAAATACAATAACGTTCAGATACAAAAATAAGAAAAAAAAATTGTTAATGTAAGATATTGTCCATCAAGCCAAACATTTTTCAAAAATAACAGATCAACTGTTGTCCTCACCCATCATGGAATGTTTTTCTTGTACAGGGATTTCAAAAACAAATTCAAGATGCAATCTATTGTAAAAACCCAACATGTGTTTCGCTATACAATAGCTCCTTCAGAAGCTAATATTTACTGAAACACATGTTTTGTGAAACTTATTAGTGAAAATCTCATTATTGTGTTTTTTGAATATGTTAAGAATTTCAACAAGTATCTTCCGATTCCATCCCATATTTCAAAAACAAAATCAATACAATTAACATTTACAAATTTATTCAAAAATGATTTAACAAGTTATTAACAATTATAGGTATCAAAAACGACTCCCATATATAAAAACTATGAAAACTGGTATAATTCACTTGTAGATAAAAATAAACAACATTGAAGACATTAGTTGAAAAGAGATTGCACCATATATTCAATCAATTAATTAAGATTTTGAACAAAGACAAATATGCAGATAAAATACAAATATACAATATTTCCTAATTTACAAATTTATAAAAAAAGTTATTACCCCACTCTCGAGAAAACAAATTTATATACAAAGTTATTACCCCACTCTTGAGAAAACATATTTACCATGTTTATAAATCATTTCATAAAACCTGCAATCATGACCAATAAACCCAGAAAAAAGATTCGACACAATTGTTGAACGAATTAATAACTAGAATTCTTTTTCAAGAATATAACATAAAAAATAGGATATTCTCAAGTATAATCCCATTATAGTAAAAAAAGTTGGAAATCGGAACACATTCTATTATTTTACTCAAGAGTTTGGAAATGTTATCCAACAACTCAATTTTCTCATGTCTTCAATTTGAACAGAAAAACGTCCTATATTTTATTGTTATAACGCACCTTGTTTGTCATGGTAATATCATGCCATTCCCATCTCATGATCGGAGAAAAATAATAAATTAATTACTGCCTGCGTAATTCAGGAACCATCTCAGTGGGTAGTTGTAGTTTGTCAAAAATACATACTCTATATTCAATTTTGATCATTAATTAATATACTTTCTTTAAACAACTATAAATACATCTTTTACTAACTTGTCTACTTGTTTGTTCCAAACCCCTCATCCTAAAAGAAATTAACCCCATAACCTAACAACCCTACGAATAGAAAATCAACTGAAAGCACCAACTAAAGCTTGAGCCTGTCCGTGAACAATAGCCTGAGCCTTTGACATAACCTCCAAGGCACCTCGGCTGATCAGATCCTCAGCCAGCTTCTTTCCCAGCTTTCTAGCACTCTTCAACCCGCCTAGTGTGTCGTCTTTGTGGGGCACCAAACCACAAAACAGTTTGCTATCGGTTTCCGACCCTGCTGAGCTCCGTCTTCTGCTAGTGCTGGGGATGGCCAGCACCCCATTTTGAAGAAAGGGGCATTTTGTGATGCCCTCATAGCGAGCAGATTCGATTTTGCCACTCACTGGGCATTTATTCGTCTCGTATTCCAGCTGGTTCTCAAGGTACGGACATTTACCCATGAAATCCACGCCCACTGGTAGTTGCATTGGGCACTTATCATGGGGGTCTTTATCTAGGATGTCGTTCGGAATGTCATCCAGTTTGGGTCTTTTGGATGAAGGTCCGTTAGAAGTGATAGAGCATTTGTCTCCGCAGGTTTCTATGTCTCCCAGAGGTTTGTCAGTACCTGAAGTTAAAAAATGTTAGTGGACTATCCCATAAAAAATTAACATCATTTGAATATGTTCAGATATACTGTTCACATTGTTAATACTTCCTTTTTTTCAACATATTTTAGTTATTTTGAATTAAAGTATCATTACTCGTTTAGAATGTATGATATTGTCATTAAATTCTACAGAATTCTTTTCTAGGCACTCTTTCATAGACTGCATTATAGGAGTTTTTGTGAAAATTCAATCATGTTTTTTTATAACAAACACATTCTTCAAAAATCAAAAATTTTTTGTCAATCCAAATCTTTTTGATTTTCACATAAACTCTCTTTATTTTGCTTCAACTAAAACCATCATTATAGTACTAGAAATATTTCGATTGTGAATTTACAGAGGCAGTACCCATACGTACCTCTGTAGGGACAATTTGTACACCTCAAATCCTTCTTGACCGTTATTTCTGTATTATCTGAATCGATTACTTCTTCTTTACCATCCAAAGACCAAACCGCTCCTTTCAGGCTCAAATCATACTGGTTTTCTTTTGTCACCTTCAGTTCTGAGCTGACTGCTACCGGAGCACTGCAACCTCCCCCTAGAGTTTTGAGAAAACTCCTTTCAGCTGTGATTCGTAAGGCAGTCGGAAGGTCATACAATGGCTGGAGTATGCTGATGATTTCCTCATTGTCTGCTCGACATTCTACGGCTAGGGCTCCTTGTCCCACAGCATAAAGAAGTTCATCTTCAGTTAAAATCTAGAATAATAATAACTTCTATTAGACTATAATGGTCTAAGTAAACATATGAGGGAAACTTGAGGAATTCCTTTGAAGATATTCTTTTTTGCTGCAATAGCATTTTCAAACTTGAAACCTATTCAGCAAATTAATGGATGTAGCCGTTACTACATGGTAGTAGATCATCATGAAAAATGAGAAATGAAACTTTCTATGTTTTTTTACCACTTGTATTTGTAACTAACGTTACTGCAGTTTCGTTCTATACGGACATTTTCGAACGAATACAATATTGTATTTGTATTGTTTGAAAATGTTCTTATAGGACGAAACTGCAGTAATGTCAGTTACGACTACAAGTGGATAAAAAATATAGGAAATTTAATGTCTCATTTTTCTTGAAACCAATTGTATTTTTTTTGAAAACCATGCGGACTTTTCAAAATCTAGACGATACTTTCCAGTAATATGGATTCAACAAATAAAACTCAGGTGGTTTGGTTAATTTCCACAAAAAATATAGGTTGCTAAATAACTTGTTATGCTTTTTCACTCACCCTTGAAATCCTCTCTTTCCATCCAATCCTTACCAAACCTGCGGTAGCTAAAATAATGGCTTGGTACTTTCCTAAATCATCCAGTTTTTTCAGCCTAGTATTCAAATTCCCTCTGATGTTTTCTACTTTAAGATGAGGGTAGTTTTTAGCCAACTGGGCTGTTCTTCTTAGACTAGAAGTGCCTATTACGCTCTTCTGGGGTAAAGTTGCTAGTGAAAGGTCTTTCAAATCTTTTTGGAGAACCAAAGCATCTCTAGGATCTTCCCTGTAAATACACATTGTTATAATGAAATGTATGACAGATGCAAATAAATAGAAACCTTGTCAGTACAGCTCCAATGGCCATACCATCCGGTAGAGATGTAGGAAGATCCTTCAGAGAATGAACCACAAAATCCACACACCCTGTTGCTAAGGCAGTCTCAAGTTCTTTTGTGAACAGGGATTTCTCTCCAATTTTGGGTAAAGCGATATCAAGAACTCTATCACCTAATGTGCTCATAGTAACTGCAAAATATCTCTATTAAAAAATTTCAAGTATCTTCTGGTTGGCAGTTCAATTTCTCACCTATTTCAAATTCCTTTTCCGGAAAACAGTCTTTTAGTAATGCAATGACATGTCTGGTTTGTATAAGTGCAAGCTGAAATCATTTTATTACGTTGAATGATATATTTATAAATTCATCTCACTGCAGTATAAAAATGGCATATGTAGCAAGATGATTACATGATAAATGTACATATCAAAAGAATGAGCCAGATAAGACAATAATAACATAGATGAGGAACAAGATGTCATTCACACAGGTTATTGAAAATAGCATAAAATTTTCAACGTCTAGTCAGGTCTGTCAGACTGATACCCAATCATTATTCAAAGATGTAATTTTCAGTTGATCAGATAATAGAAACCCGTATCTATTTTTTTTTTTGTACTCAACTGGTACATTGCTAAGAACAATTGCCACTGTATAGAGAAAATGTAGATGATATTCACCTAAGACAGCAGAAGTGAGAAATGCATTTTAACATCAAAACTAAGAGATCTTTTGAGTCTTGAGAAATATTAAGCTTGACAATTTTTCACAATCAGCATCCTCATGATGTATTTATCTAGAAATCGAACGTTAAAAAGTAATACCTCGTTATTCCTTAGCTCGCAAAAGTTTTGACTTTTGAGGGTTGTCGTTCGTATGGGAGAGACAGCTAGTTAACGGAAAAACATATTTTAACAGATTTCAATGACTTAGTCCCTGCTTATGAATGAATTTCATGAGATTTGTTCAGTTTCTTATCTAAAGTTGATGTAATTGGTCGATTTTTACTAATATTTCTTTGTAGTCTAGGCAAACAGTCATATTTTTTGCAAACATATTTTGATAACTTGTAAATGGAACACCATTTTTGTTGATGGTAACTACAAAATGCTGAATCACAAAAATTGTTTTTGATTCAAATTTCATGGGATATGACGGAGTTAATTCTACCTTCATAGGTAGAGAGTATAGGGAGATTTGAACATATGTTATGAAAAACTTACCTCGCTTTTTCTGGAACCCACTCGTATTTTTTTATTTTCGCTCATATTTGCGGAGTTGTAGAAACCAACTGGAATTCACAATCAGGAAATGTATTTTCAAAACTTGCTATTTCAAGTCTTCACACTGGAAACGCGTGAATAAACCTAAAAAATAATCATGTACTTTGAACCACTTGAAGTGTGCAAAACTGATATATTTTAATAGAGTGGTTTCTCTTTTTTCTAAATTGAAAAGTCATTCTTTATTGCCTTACATAATAAATTATAATGTTGCATAAAACAGTACTGTTTCCTGCCAAATGAACGGGAAACTCTTTCTTTCCAATAGTTCACCCTTGAACCACATATTGACAAATATAATCCTATCTATAATATTAAATAGTAACTCCTCTCTGACTCTGACCAGTGACCTGCTTTTCCTTCTGAAGTCAATTTTGACAATTTATTTACCTATTTGACATGTCACGATTTTCATTTTCCAGTGTTGCGACCTTATGAAAAAACGCCAAACTGTTCTTTAAGGAATGCAACGTAAACTGTAAGAAAAGTGACATTTTTGAAATTGAATTTCACTAAATTGATCCTCTCACAAAATAATACTTCGCCACTAAGGATTTTTAAATATTTTTTGAATTTTGACTCCTCATCAAAAAATCGAATAAAAATTAGTATATCATTCACGATTAATGTCATCCTAATCACAACTCGAATCTGACAATTCCTACACTATAGGTTTCTGTATCAAATCATAGTCAATGTGTCAATTCATTTTGAGTAGATGCCGCCAGTATAATTGCTTGTAGAAAATTAGAAATTGTGACTTGTATACAAAGATTGGAATTTCTATTAAATTACTATACGGGGTGGGAATATAAACGTCTCCCTCTCAAAGCCTTCGATTGTGTCAACAATAACATTCTCTGGCTGCTCATAATTCAGAATAATAAACGTTACCTCTGTCATTGCGGGGGTGTCACAAGCATGAATACTATAGGCTTTACTCACTTTTCCTCCAGCATCTTTCATATTGAATCACCTTCAACGCCGATTCAAACTTTTTTATTAAAAGTCACATTATAATGGAATTTGATGAAAATAGCAATTTTTGAGGAAAGGACTATTTGTGTTGAAAAAATAAACTACATCTCCATATCGAAAAGACCACATGTTTATTGTTTTCAAAACTTTGCAGTCGTGAGAATCCATATCCCAATGCTTCCTTTAAGATACGCAGAATATCAATCATAACAGAGCAAAAAACCATCTTTCGACGCACGGTTCGCATCATCGTTAACTTTTCAGCAAGAGAGGCAGTATTTTAGTTCTGGTGTATTTTCAATAGATTTATTTTACGCCAGAGGTTTCAATTATATCTATCGATTTCATGGATGGAGCCTGTTTTATTTTTTTTACATAAATGTTTTGTGAAAAATCATGTTGTTGCGCCAGTATATGCATTTTTAGTGGAGATAGTGAGATATGTTATGATTTGTTCTTGTGATTATTCATATAGAAATTTAAATGTGTAGGTATTTGTTGTTTATTAAAAATTTAAGCAATCATCCCAAATATCTCCTCAACGGTGTGAAATATCGAAATCAAGCAAGAGACAAGGAAATTCAAACACAGAATGACAATCTTTTTTGTAGGAAAGTGGTCAGTGACGTTTTAAAAAAAAATCGGAAGGGTTGAAAGTTTTATTGGGACATAAAATGTAACATTCTGTATAAAAACTCCAATGCTTTTTATAGTCATTCCGTGGACATCCTCGCATGTTTTTTGTTAGCGCAATAATGTTTAGTTCTCGTTCGGCGGTCAAGATAACCCCGTTTACCACTGGCCGTTATTTCAATTTTACATTTTCTCCTAAATTGTGCGTCTAAATGTATATCAACGTTTATCTTCATAAAATTTTCTTGATTATGAAGTAAATTTTCCTCGTAAGAAATATGCCTGCCAAATATAATGTTTAAAAATCACATTTTAATTTTCAATAATTTTTTGACACACAATGTTTCCTTTATAAGAGATAGATTACACAGTAGGTATCTATCGCAGACTTTTTTAGATCCAATAGATAATTCAATAGATAATAGATATCTTTGTAGTGCATATGGTACATAAGCCTTACGGCATGGCACGCGAATAAAGGAGTTCTATATTTATTGTTTTTTCTCCTGACAAATTCACAAATATCAATAAGTAACACTTATCAAGAATTGTAGTCTTTTGGAGAAATCAAGTAAAACCGTGAATATGTTTAAGTATCAAATGAAAAAAAAAATGTTAAAATCTATTTTACCGTTAACCAGCTGTCGCCTCCCTACGAATGACAACTCTCAGAAGTAGAAACCTGTGCGAGCTGCTGATTAACGAGGTCTTACCTTTTAACGTGCAATTCCCAGCACGGGTTGGACGATATGAAGTAAAAATCGATCGTCCTTCCTTTTGGCTTGAACCACCGATTCACACAGCGGTCTATTGTGTACGTGGAGCACATCAACTGCGCCAACTCAATCGACTTGATCATAAAAAATTTTAAACAAATGGATTTATCTCATTAAATGTTCGAAATGTCCATTATTTTCTAATCAGTGGTAAAGTAGGCTCTCAAAGTTCTCTTAACATTCCGAAAAACTTCTGCCTCTGAATATCTCTACATGGAAGAAATTTAGAAGCGATAAGTCGGATGATCTTGCTAGCCATTCTATTGCTCCTCATCAACCAATCCATCTGCCAGAAAATCTATCATTTAGTCGCTATCTAACTGGAAGAAAGTAGTGTGGTGGAAGCTCCATCTTATTGAAGGTAAATAACATTGTCTTACAAAATAATTTTAACAGCCGCATCAATTTGATTTTTCAAATTAAGGGGTCTATGATTTCATCATACAGATTAAGGTAGAGCTCCAGTGATAGAATTCTCAAGAATATCAGCCTAAACGTTCACTTTATTCCCTGAAAAATAATGGATTTTCATTGCTACATTTGCAACTTTGTTTGTTGATATCCCTATTCAGAAAAAACGTACACTTGTCAGTGAAGCAAATATTGTGCAGAATAATTTGGTTTTCATTTGTAAAATCTGTCTTTATTTCTAAAAATTCTGTTCTTCTGTCGAAATCGTCGTCATAAAGCTGTTGAAAATTTTTTATTTGATACGAATGAAATTTATTTAACTTTTTAGCTGTGGCTTTCTCTTCCAGTTTGTGTCTTAAAGTTATTTCTTTGTAAAACTTTTTTTAATCATTGCTTTTTTCCTGTTTTTCGGAGTTTTCCACGTTTGTTGAAGTAGCAAGCTAATACCTTTCTTTCCCGTATCTGAAAGACCTTTAAAATGAAATATCTCTCAACCCCCTTTTCATTTACGATTTTAGGGATAGTATCCACACCCGCCAGAGTGTTGATGAAATTTAATTGAATACTAGCCTACAAAAGTATTATTTTTTTTCATATTTTTGGATTTTAGGATTTTCTATAGGGGCCGTAATATCGATTGTGAAACGTTTTCAAATCGACACACTGTATAGAATCAACACCTCAATTATTTACATGATATTTAGGAACGTTTTCTATTTCAATAAATTGATGGATATAGCCGTTACTACGTGGTAGGAGATCATAATGAAAAGAGAAATGGAAAATTCTATGTTTTTTACCGCTTTAGTTACAAATAAAAGTGGTAAAAAACAAAGAAATTTTCATTTCTCTTTTCGTTTTTCTTTTCGTTTTTTATTTTGTTTTCAATAGTTTGATTCTGTTGAGCTTTATTTTTATATATTTTTTGATACTTCCAAATGTCTTATAAAAGTAGGACCACAGAATCGAACTTCAGTCCAGAGTCTAGAACTGGTGCCCTCCAAGAAACCGTGAGAAAAATTTAACCAATTATCGTTCTCGAGGGCAATTATAAACACCCCAATATTACATGAAATGAATTGCCTGCACTTTACTCATTAAGCATTAGTCAGTGGCTAATCCAATTAAACCCGAGTATTCCCCAAACAGCAAACAACCTTCAAAATTCGCATTACAAACGTAGATCGGATCACGTAGGTCATGAGGATGTACGAGGCATTAGATAATTAACAAAGATAAGCTGCTTGTTATTCCTGGCCAAACTAACGGACCAGACTTAAGTGGCTGAAATTAAGTTAAGCGGACACGTAATTCCACCTACTTATTAATGCATCTCGAATTTTGAATAATAGGTCTTTCGGTCATTAAACAATTATTTACTTTCGTAACGTCGCTTGTATGGACACGAGAGACAGTGAAGGTGAAGACGTTAGAGGTAACGAAGATGTGGTTGTTTTTTGGAGTTTGCGCGTGTTTCTTCGGTGGAGGGTTGAGTTTGGCTTCCTCCAATTATTTTTGCGCGGACATGAACCCCCAGCATCATGTTATAATCGATCAGGTAATTATAATAATAGTCGTAATTCTGAATTCAATTCAAAACACGATTTCAATGTTTTTCAAAATAATGAGTCGATATACAGAGTGACATACTTTCTGGTGTCAACGGGTGGCGCGCCACATTTCCCTGCAACTATAAAAAGATCAGATCGGGTGATAGGAAGAAGACAAACAGCAAAATAACCTTCTAGATTACCTGATTTCAGTCCAATGAACTTGTTTTAAGAGATAATATGAATTCTAGACTCTATAATAACAGAGTTATTGGCATAGTGAATACAATTAAATAAATGAAATGATATAGACTGAAGACTATAAAATAAATATTTAGAAACAAAATCTCGAAATATTCATCTCTACCAACTACCTACACTGTAGGTTCTGGTAAATGTCTGTCGGAAAATAACTACTTCCCCGGCTTATGCCACACTGAATATTGAATTATATCTGACAGACATTTATGCAAAGTACCTCACAGAGGTTAGTCTCACAGATGTTTCTCGTTCATCCAGCAGCAGGAGCATTCTGAAATCAGTCGAGTAGATAATTTACAGACCGGTTTCGAGGTATTACCTCTCATCAGTGCAGGAAAGATCTGACCCAAACAGCAAAGTGATTGGGACTCGATAAATTTCAACGCGGCTCAACTGCATGAATGAAACCTTCGTCTAAATAACAGCTCCATCTCGTGAACGAAGCCCTAAGCCCATGTACCTGTACTCTAACAGAGATCAAACCATGTCTGAAGACTGTATCGAGGAGAGATACATAAGTAGAACTAGAAAATAAATTAGTTTGATTGATAGCCAGTTGATGAGTGCGTTCCCTATTCACTTTCAAAGATGAAACAAATTGGTTCCTTGTGTTCAGTGCCTACCGAATTATCGGTACTCGGTACTAGGAATCGCGCTTCTTAGAAATTATTGAATTATTATGAATTATGAATTATTCTTAGCAAATACAAGTTTCGACTTTTGACACTCTCTCTTACTGTTCACCGACACGCAAAATTGAAACTCCTAGTAATCATGTACTAGACTCGACTGAAACTTTTATTAATATTTATGTAATAGCGAAGCTATTCCTTCGGAATAATGAAATGTTTTTTATTGCAGCTTATGGGCATGTGGTTTGGAATAGAGAAAATAGATCATCTTGACGAAACTCGTTACATCGACAAAAAGAAGCCATCTTGTCCAATTATTCACATATCAGAGGATAGAAGATCATCGACAACTTTGAATCCATTGTATAAGAACTACAACTATGGGTATAATTATGGCGAAGGTAAGTTATTTTGTAAATTGGGTGTTTCTATTCTCGTGAATACATTGAAATTCGAATATTTTTGTCGGTTGACAAGTTTAAAAATCAATTGAACCTTCCAGAACTCTCAGCACGAGGATTAAGATTATTTATAATAATATATTACAAATAATTTTTACAAAAGAATGAGCTACGAAAATCAAAAATAATAGTCTTCCACAATTCATACTTACAGTTGTGAATTCATAATTATGATTGTGAATTTACAGTTATAAGTGAGAATTCACAGTAATAATTGCAAATTCAATGGTCTTTAACATTCTACTGTGGTATAACTGTAAATCATGACCATCAGTTGTAGACAACACAATCATCGCATGTACACTTTGCACTTGACACAATATAGATGTCAGTACGTTACATTTACTGCAAATTAATGGAATATACAATTAATAATCAAACAAAATCTGATATGCAACCTAACCTAGTCACAGCTAGATTCAATTAGGGGCAATTGAAAAAATATTCTTATTGAACTGATTACACTTTTTTGTCAAATTGTAATCACACTACTTGAATATAGCTTTGGCTAGGTTACCCTATAAGTAAGTTACTGCTTTATTAACAAATGAATTAACTGTCTACAGACGTTGTTCACGCCATTCACAGTGTATTCACACGTACTTTTAAATTCACACATATAACTGTAAATTTACAGTTGTAATTGTGAATTATGGAAAATGATATTATATATTTCTGTAGCACTTCTTCACTTTCATAGTCTTAAATATTTCTATTAGTAACTTTTGATTCAAACCATAGGCCACGGTTATAACACTCAGAGGCCAATCAATGCTCGTGAACGAATGTTGCAACTAGAAATGCGCAAAAGAATCTACGAACAATCCGAATACGATAGGCAAACTACTTACGGCGACTACCCGGCCAGCAGAAGGCAGCACAACTACAACGATATTCTTGGGCGGCAGAACTTTGCTGTGAAGTATTTGAGGTTGTATTGGGACGAAAATGGAGAAAGCACTGAGTTTCACATGCGCTACAATGTCAGCAGAGCAGGATTTTGGATCAGTTCTGGTCCCGAGAATGGAGGTAATCTTGTTTTATCAACAAAATCACATCTATTTAAGAATTTTCGTCTGTACGTTTGTACGTAAGGAAGATATGTATATTAAAAATAACCCTTACCATCATTACCATTGAGTGAAAAGCTGTTTAGGCACAAGCATAATGAACTAAAAAGTTTATGATGATTGGAACCGTATTTCGGAGTTTCCATTTTGATTTTCATTGCAGTGATTCATAAACCCACAGATGTACTTTTTGGCGATATATTTCTTTTTCGCCTCAACTTCATAAAACCCTCTCTTTATATTGGATAATTTCCAGGATCATCATTAGACCCGGAATTCAGCCATTTTGCCGGTACAATCCAGGTGTTGAAAGCTGTAGGCAACCACTTGGTACTTACTTTTTGTCATCAGCTACCAGATCGGCAGCTGTACTCCATTCTGCTTTCCAGAGAACTGAAACTTGACCACGTAGAAATTCATGGTGTCCATAACATGCTCCAACGAAAGGGTCTAAGAACCAACTCGGTACAAAAACTGTGTAACAGCGGGAAGAAACATTCCTTGAGTAACATCTTGAAGGGTTCTACTTTAATGATATTCTTTGTTAGTAGATTACTTAAAAATTGAATGATGGATGAAACGTTAGGATGGTAGATATTATTTTTTGTAGGAACATACCTCGCAGTACAAGTTTTGGTTTTATAAGGATATATCAAACTGTATTATATACAGTGTATTTACAATAATTCGAATGTTTGAAAATTTTTAAGCTGTATATAGTTTTTACGATCAATTATTTTCAGTAAAAATACAAAGTTAGAACCAAATAGATATAAATATAAACGAACCAACTACGAGTACAAAGATATATTTTAAACATTCTTACAGAATTGATGTGAAGTATTGTATTGTATTAATTGCTAATTTAAGAACTTTATATTCCATTTTTCCTATAATATTGAATATTTGTTAATTCGCTTTAGGAAAATATTCCCTAACTGTTTAATAAAATAAATACGTTGAACTCTTGTTTATTTTTTATGTATTTCGAATATTTAAATAATAAAATCACTACAGTAGACCATAAATGTTCTAGCATTGAGTAAGTGGTCAAGGCCTCGAAAGGATGAAGAAATGAAGAATTGGTCAATTCAAGTATATTAAAAAAGTTCCTAGCTGAATTCTTAGTGGTGAGTGCTACTGAACTTATTGATAGATTCTTTTGACAATAGTTTTACTATGAATGCGTAAAAAGGATACAGAAAAATCGATATAATTTTTTCCCATCCACACAAATTGAGAATACACAGTGCACAGTCATAACTGTTAATTTACAGTTATCAGTTTGAATTCACAGTTTCAACTGTAGATTCACAGTATAAGTATAAATCATGAACAGTATCTGTCAACTTTGTACTTTATGTTAGCATTTTACATTTATTGCTAATGGAGATATCCAATTTCTGGTAACTTTGAAATACAAGAGAGGAAAGGTTTTATTAACGATTTCACGTAACAAATGAAGCATTCCTATTGTATTACACAGAAAATAGGTTTCCAAGCTAACAGTACTGGTGAAGAATCGAACAAGACTATCCATTACCCATAGTATGAAATTAGTAGCATGAAATGAAACATAAAACAAAGGTTGATGTAATATATTTTTAGTCCCCAATATAAAATGACAAAACTGATGAGAAATTACAAAATATTTTCGGTTCGTGGATTTGAAACCTTCAAGTTCGCGTTAGATAACTGGTATTTTGTAATAAAAATAACCACAATACTAAGGATAGATTATGTTTCTCAACGAACGTGTATAGTAACTATTTATGTTTTTCAATAAGTTTGCTTGATCATATATGAAGGCGTATAGCGACTGCCTCTAGACAATTTTTATTTGACAATTTTGATACCAAAGGACACTTATTTATATATAAGGATCAAAGATGTATTTATGAGCCACGTCCAACAAAATTAGAGAGAGAGAGAGAGAGAGAGAGAGATGTATTTATGAGATCTGAGTCCAACACTCAACAAAACTGTGGTTATGTCAGAGCTGAAAAGCTGTGGTTATGTTTACATTGGTAGTTAGGTTATGTTTAACATTTCCCAGAAAAATTAAACAGAATTTAAAATGAATTTATAGATTTCCTCACGTTTTTAGACATTGACTTGAAAACACGTTATAATGGACAAAATAGCCACAGCTAACATTAAAACGGTAAATGAAGAACTTGCACATTAACCAAAAATATTAATCATGATCATTAGCACTAGAACCAGTTTAGAACCAGAACCTCATTATGAAATCAAACTACAGATTGGCTGACTTTAATGATAATTTAAATTCAGGCAATAACTTCATGAGAGAAATTGCAAACTTTTTAAAGACTTGGCTAGAAGTTATGAAATGTTCCTGTAATATCCTTTAGTAATAACTTATATTAATTTCATGAATAACTTATATAATCTTCAGATGAAGAGATTTATTTATCCCTCCAGTGAAAAAAAATACGTTGAATTATTCAATAAGATTTGCTCTAAAATGTCTGATGAAAAAATTAATCTATTTTGATGAGTTTCAAATTTTGTTTTATATATGGTATACTGGTAACATTCTATCAATATGTGATGAAAAATACCTAGGTATCTACTCATTACTTGTATAATGGAAAAGAATTTTTCAGACTGTTCTTCCATTAATAAAATATTTCATGAATATGTTTATTTTTTTCTTACTAGTACCCAGGTTTTATTTACTGAATGTAGATACAAAAATTCATCACTGTTGAATATTTTGAAATTTTCTGTCCAAACCACGTAACATGCAAACTTGATACTAATTTTTTTTAATAAGCTTGTAAAAATTTCAGGTTTCCAGACTGTTATTTGATGGTATAATCAAACCTACAGATTTAACAAAATCATCAATAAAAAAGGCTTATGAAAACCAAAACCTTAACGCTTTCATTACAATTACCAATGAAGTTGCCAAAACTCAATCAGAAAACTCTTTGGAGAGGTATAAAGCAAAAAAACCTTTATCAGACTTGGATGGTCTGCCTATAGCAATCAAAGATAATTTCTGCACAGAAAACATAAAAACAACATGTGCCTCAAAAATGCTGGAAAACTTCGTTCCTGCTTATAACGCCACAGTATATGAGAAACTTGCCAATGCAGGAGCTATTTTAATTGGTAAAACGAATTTGGACCAATTCGCAATGGGTTCAGGTACCATTGACTCAATATTTGGACCTACCAGAAACATTTGGGGTTCCACAGATAGTGATTTTCGTATATGTGGGGGCAGTAGCGGTGGGAGTGCTGTAGCAGTCGCTTCTGGAACTTGCTTTGCGTAAGTGTTTAAAAAACAATAATTTATTTATTGACAGAAAACCCTCTACAACTTTCTATTTAAATTTTTGCCAAACAATAATTAAACTAAAATTAAAAAATATCTACACAAATAAAACAAATTTATACATGCGGTATTGCTGTATTATGCTTCATCATTCCAATTTAAACAATCGATTTTCAAAAGATTGTAATGTTGATCCAAATATGTCTATGTCTGAGTGTATTCTTCTATTACTTTCAGGCCCTGGTATTCTGTTTACCAGGGCCTGAAAGTGAAATTAGTGACAGATAGCTGTAAAACAAGAATAAAATTTTCTGACAAATGGATAATAAATAAGTTTCCCATATGGTACAAACTTGTTGAAACCCACTGTATATACAGTAGAACTTGCACTACAAAACACAGCTATGAGATCAGAAATAAGACTAACTTTTACTAGATTCTTCGGCCCTCTAAACACACTCTCTTTCACAGTTTTGTATATCTAGAACCTAAACTGTATAGCCTTATTCCTTCAGAAGACAAACTGATCAACTCATATTACTTACTTACTACTACGTCACACCCTGGGTGATATATTCCAATAATTAAAAGATAATCCATTTTATGACATTATACTTAAAATTGAACAATTTGATAATACTAAATTTCTGCAATTAATCTAGTGAAGGTTTTCATTTTTATAACAGTGCAATTGGCTCTGATACCGGTGGTTCCACAAGAAATCCAGCTTCTTACTGTGGCATAGTGGGTCTGAAACCAACATACGGACTAGTGTCCCGCTCTGGACTGATCCCTCTTGTGAATTCGATGGACGTACCTGGAATACTAGCCAGAACAGTTGATGATGTAGTTTCTGTACTGAACATAATCGCAGGGTTTGATCCCAAAGACTCGACGTCTCTGACCAAGCCATATCGAAAAGTAAGGTAGGACTAAAGCATTATAATTCATAACATTTCATGTCCTATGCAAACATGTGTTCTTTAAAACAATTTTTCAAACTTCGCAAAATGTAACCTATATAGGTTTTATCCATCTCTAGACTTGATTTTTTTAGAGTCCTTGAATTCAGGATTTTCCTTGTTCAAGATTACCACCTGCTGAAAAAATGAGCATCAAGGGATTGAAAATTGGCATACCATTGGAGTATAACTCGGAGCATCTCAGTGATGAAGTCTCGGATACTTGGAATGAGGTTGCTGCATTTCTGAGTCAAGAAGGTGCAGTAGTGAAACAGGTAATTCCACTTCTTCTAATAGTAATAATTGATTTTGCATTGAATGGGTTTCAATTTATTTAATGAATTGCCATCTTATATGATGCCTTGATAAGTCAACAAAAATGTTAGATAATTTCAATATTGAATGTTTAATTTTACTTGACTATTTTATTACTCAACTGTTTTTTTTATAACCTGTTGCCTTTTATATTTTTATTATTGGCTTCTATTATATCATCAAGTATGATCTGATGTATAACTATTTTCTTCATGAGTGTGTTACACTAACAGTATCTTCTCAAATATTTCAATTGCTCATTCAAACTCATTTCGTTCTTGACTTTTGCAGCAACATAACTGTTATGATCATTATAGGTCTCGATGCCCAACACAGAACACAGTATCGTCTGTTATTCGATACTGAATCAGTGTGAAGTTGCTAGTAATATGGCTCGATATGATGGCATTGAATATGGTTTTCGTGCAGATGAACATTCGTCTACTGAAAAATTGTACGCTCTTAGTAGGCGTTTTGGGTTCAATGACGTCGTGAAGAATAGAATACTAACAGGAAACTATTTTCTACTTTCTAGGTAGGATCAACAACGCTACAATGTTTTTTAAGGCAATAAAGTCAGTCTCAGAAAATGATATAGTTAAGTAGAACGACATGAGACCCAAGACAAAACCTTGTAGATTTCCTTTAAAAACATTCAAAATTAAAAAATTTCATGATTACATATTCTATTACTTTTTCAGGAATTACAAGAAGTACTTTGAACAGGCTCTCAAAACTAGGAGATTGATTTCAAATGATTTCGACAATGTGTGGAACGATGTTAGTTTGTTACTCACGCCTACTACCCTGTCGGAAGCCCCCTTGTACAGTAAGTTCGTTGAAAGAACAAATAGGGATCAGTGTGCGACTCAGGATTACTGCACGCAACCTTCTAATATGGCTGGTAAGTCGCGGGACATAGAATAGAATATTTAATTGGTGTTAAAATAAACATTAAGTTTTTACGCAGGTCAATACAGCATAGATACAGAAATATAAGTTATAAATTATATAAAATATATCGAAGTAGGTATGTAGGTTTCACAATATCAACAATTTAAAGTTTTCATTTCATTTTCTCAGAGACAAATACAACATTCCAAAGATTACATTTCATTTCAATTCTACTGTTAAGAAATTCATCGTAGCCATAGAGGTCTTTGTTTGTTAAATAATCTTTCAATACAATCTTCAGCTTATTTGTTTCAAGATCCCTGATCTGGCAAGGTTATTGTAGAATTCTGGAGCATAATAAAGTGAAGCATTCCTAGATTTATAAAGTCTAAGATTATTCATTCACTGAAAGGCTTCTTAACGAAGCCTTTTAGTTTGTATGGTGAGTGGTCTTTCAGGTCAGATGGTGAGAGTACGGATCTGCCGAACTCAAAGAACCTGATTCGGTCCCCAGCGGAGCAGGTACAAAGTATATGCTCTGCTGTTTCATCATTTTCCAGACAGAGGCGACACACACTGTCTTACGATAGTCCAAGTCTCTGCATATAATGATTCAAATGACAGTGTCCTGTAAGAAGGCCTGTTAGACATCGTAGTTCATCCCTACTGTAGTCCAACAACTGTTTGGTATCAAGCTTCGCAGGGTGAATAAACGTCTTGGAGTGAGCCAATCCTGGAAGATTCTGCCAGAAGTCCATAACTCTTCTTGCCATCCAGGTGTTCAGTGTTTGTTTGGCAAAGCCCAAAGTGATGCCAATGACAGGTTCTGGTCCAATGAAGCCGCTTGCAGCACCCTCCTTTACAAGAGACTCAGCAGCTTCATTGCCTTCCAGGCCAGTATGGCCAGGAATCCATACCAGAGACAATCTGTTAAGTCTTCCTATCGAGGAGAGTCGTTTTTGGCAGTTTGCTACCAATTTAGACGTTGCTTGGTAGGAGCCAAGAGCTTCCAACGCCGCTTGACTGCCCGAGAATATTTTTATTGACTTGTGAGTGAGGTTGGATTTATCCAATCTCTCCGCACACAAATCAATGGCGTAAATTACCGTTTGAAATACAGTCGCATAAGTTCCTACCTAGGCAGGTAGATAACTCTGTCCTGGGTCTGCGACTGAAAACACCTGCACCAGAACCGGAAGGTGTTTTTGATCCATCTGTGAACCAACAACTGTCAAATCAAATCAAACTGTACTTTATTGTCCAAGAATAATTATTCTTATTGACAAAGTGAGTAGATAACAATGAAGTGGATATCCACTGTGTCCAATACATATGAGAGAAAAAAAAAATGAAAATATAAAAATATAAAATGTAAAGATGAATAATTATATATACATATATATACATATATATATACACATATATACACATATATACTCACATATACACACATATACACACACATATGTATAAATGAAATGTCCATATAAAATGTTCATATAAATAAACACAACCATGACAAATAGAATGATGACATTCACTCACATATATTCGAAACTAATTACAAAACAATATCTAGACATGAAGTTGATACCTATATCTTTATGCAAATATAAATGATTAAAAATGGTCATTGTAATATTCCTGCAGGTCATAATACGCTTTTGAAATGAGAAATACTTTTTCCTTCTCCCGGAGGATCCAGTCCTCTCTACTCGGTAATAGTACTGTATAAGGCAGTTCGTAGTTGACAGTTGGAGGCATAAAGTCAGAGGTCACTTCCAGAGTGTTATGATTTCCAATGTCAACCAACAGTCTGTTGCACTCTGCATTGAATTGATTTGTGCAATTAGCAATGTGCACAAGTCTGTATGCAGTCCATCTAGCCTCTCTTTCCAGAAAAATGTGGATAGGAGGTAGATCTAGAAGGATCTCCATGGCTGTTGACGGTGTGGTACTGATGGCACCACTGATAGCCAGACAAGCCTGTCTCTGTAAGCCAGAGAGCTTTGCTTGGGCCGTTTTCTGTTAAGCCAAGCAACTGCACCATAAGTCATCAATGGTCTGACAATCATCACATAATCCAATGGATTTGTTTGGGACCTAAACCCCAAGTTTTACCACAAATCCTTCGACATGTCCATAGAGACAGTCTGGCTTTGTGTAAAACTTTTTCCAAGTGAGCGTTCCAGGTGAGTCTTTTATCAAGGACAATGCCAATAATTTCACCTCCGTTCCAAATGGAATGACCACACGATTGAGATCGACTAATTTTCTTCTCTTGGTGAAGGGCATTAACACAGTTTTGCTGGGGTTGACAGACATCTGCTCCCTCAGGCACCAACTGTGAACAACGTCCAACGCGCTTTGGAGGATATTACAAGCTACCCTACCCGACGTGGCCTTGCCAGGATGACAAGGTCATCTGCATAAGCTTGCAGATCAACTTTTCTGTCGAGGGTATCAAGCAGACTATCCACCAGGAGCGACCACAGAAGGGGAGATAGTACCCCACCTTGAGGGCAGCCCCTGGTGACCCTGAACCTGATAGCCTCGCCTTGAAGAGTCGTAGTTGCAGTTTTGTTTACTAGCATGGCATAGATCCAGCCAGTTATGGTCGATTCTATACCCTTCCTAGCCAGAGTCAATCCTATAGATTTAGTTAGTGCATTGTCAAATGCTCCTTCAATATCAAGAAATACAGCAACCGCAAGAAGAAGATGTAATTAATTGTAGATACTTTGCATCCTCACAATAGGACTATTTTGAGTATAGTTGGTATGATGCAATTCATTACTTAACATTCTGAAATGCCTCGTTCTGACAAAAGTGTTGAAATTCAGTAGGGTATATTTTTTAGGGAAAAAACTTTTTGGCTTTCAGTTCTTCATCTTTTTACAAAAATTGTGGGAATCTTCCAAAAGACAAAAGAAAGCATGCAAAGAAGTTACTTTCAGATAAAAATTGGAATAAAAAGTCCTCCTGACACAACTACTTTCACATGAACATTTTTATACAATTTTTTACATCAAGAAGGAGAAGTGAAAACCAAAAAACTTAAGAGTTGATGTGACTGTACCAAACCATTTACTGATATGTATAAAAAATATGAGATCTTTGTTAAGTGTATGAGTTTCTGGAGTAAGAATGTTGGAAGTATTAAGCAACCCGAAGTACTCTTAATTGAAGTTCAAACTACTCAGTAACAAATTGTTGGAAATAAATCTCGTGAATTTTTTCTGCATTTTTTCAAGAGTGTCCTTATGCACATTTTAGCATTGAGACCAAGACTATTGATGCGTAGTCCAGTCCGGAGCAAGCAAAAGAATAATACTGATTTGAAAATGGCAAGACGAAGATCTCTGAATACAATCCATAAACCAAACCTAATTGTCTAAAGCAGTCAGTTGTAATATTTTTGTACATGCTTATTGAATTTGAGTTTGCAAAAATAATACAGCGTTATCATGTATTTCTTCAATACAGCAGAACATTTCCGAAGAACTGGGTTTAGAGTGAGGGGTATGGGATCTACATAATATTACAAAGCATTTACTAGCATTGAGGGATGATAAAACTGACTAACTGTAGAGAAAGTGTCGATATCAGTCAGCAATGCTATAGATTCCTCATCACGATCTACAAGTTTTTTGTACATTCAGTATTGCCTTCTTAAGCGGTCCTTATCCAATCGAGAAGTTTGCTACACATTGCGATGTGACATCACAATATATTGATCAACAGCCTGCGTTCAGTGGCGCATTTTCCTTTGTGAAAAATACATTAAATTCAGCAGTAAATCATCAGGGTGAACTAAAAGAAAACCCTTTCTACACCTGTATGAAGTTCTCCATTGGAGTTTTAATTTTTTTCAGATTGTAGAAGATGGAAATTCAAAAAAAATATGTGTAATCTTACCTTTAATGATAAATTTTTTTGTGTGACATTTATTGTTTATTTTAGGAGTTCCTGCTATCTCAGTACCCGTTAAATTATCCAAAAACGGCCTTCCGCTGAGTCTGCAACTGATAGGTAAAAATTTGAGTGAACCACTACTGCTCGCTGTAGCCAAGTATATTGAAAATGCTGTTAAATTTCCTCATATTTGTTATAATTTGTGATTATTACAAGTGTCTTTATATTGATAATAAACACATTAAAAATCTTTATCAGAAGTACAAAATCAAAACCTTTTTTTAAAGAAAATGATTAACTAAAACATCATTTCAAACCATTGTTTCACAAAGAAATTATAGCATTTGACACATCAAAAGATTTTGTGTTTTTATGTGACGTTGGAATTCTTTTTCCATATTCAGAGAAAGAATATTTGTTGAACCTTGCAACCATGGATATGTGTCTCCATACATACTTTCTCATTAAGAGTAGGCTAGAATAAGACACGTAATTCCAGCTTAATCAATGATTAAAAAGTGAAACAAGAATCGGGAACCACAGTCAAAGGTAAACTTTGTTTTGTTACAACTACCAAGACACGTTTATTGTTTATAGTAAAGGAGATTAAAGTTGACATCTCCCCCTAAGAAGACGCCATTTCACCAATAGTGAAATATTCCGTGTTACGATTTTGGGTTAATTCAATTAAAATTGTCAGCACTTGTGAAAACATATTTTTTATTCCATTTATCCGCTTAGTTATCAGGCAATTCAAATTTTCCAGTATGCAAAACTTTAGAGCCGTTTCCAATTTGAAAGACTAAGAGTATTGGTACATGGGATGCTTCTTCCTCGCTTGGGGCTTTGTTTACCAGATGGAGCTGTTACTAGTTAACAGTCAATATCCAACATGTTATCAGCCGGGGAAGTAGTTGATTTTTTGCAGGCATTTAACAAAATCTACTGTGCAGGTATGTTGGGAGAGATGAATGTTTTGAAATTTTATGAATTACCTGATTTTATAAAACTAATTCTGTATTGTAATTGTTTTTTCAAAATCGATGTTTTACCAGAATTAATCATTAATCTAATTAAGTTTTGTAATTAGGTATCTACTGTTAAAGGACAATGCAGAATAGTTTGATGTACTGGATCTCAGATAAAATTTATTGTGAAAATTGTATAATAATCATGGATAGTTATTATTTCCCATCAGAGATCAGTGAATCCATAACAAATCAATTCGACAGCAAATGCACATCAATGTTGAAACAAATATGGAAAGATACAGGCTAGAACATAAAAGCACCGAAATAACAAATAGGTATTTGCCAGATTGTGGAACTGACATCAATGCCCACCGACGTTATAGCAAATATTTCTCTGTGAATTACACAGTTCATAATCGAATTGATGGAAGCCAATGTATGAACAATTTCAATTCAATAGAGATGTACTCCTGACGCTATGCTTGATAAAATATACTTTTAAATTTGAGAACAACCTCCATGTTATTGCAAATGAGAAATTTTGTTTTATATATTACTAAATATTGAATACTTACAATTATTTCTAGTTCCCTCTACTACCAGGCCATCAAAATTCTACTGAGAGTATTCTGAAAATAAGTTGTAAATTGCCATTAAATATATATAAAAGTAAAAAAAATACTGCACAATATACATCTAAAAGAGTTCTACAAATATCTGCTCAAAAAACCAAAATCCATTACTAATTAATTTGTGTAATTCTAATCTTTAGTGTTTGTTACGAAACTGTTATCCGTATCAAGTGGTATAGTCGATCTCTTGCTTGAATTTTCAAGTTGGAGGAATTGAAATCGATCAAAAGCTACACGCCACCCTCATTTCCGCTAGGCATGCATTATAAATATCCACAATCACAGCTTCAAGGAATATACTTCTCAATCTCAGAAGGTCGTCTAAGAATATAAAAGCCACCACGGCGCCCAATGTGGGACACATGGAGTCGTGGCCAATTTCAATTCGATACAAGAAAATTCAGTCAAGCAGTCGAAGCGATACTGTTCAGCTTTTACCGACATAAATACATGGAATAGCATAAATTCTAAGTGTATTTCCACCTAAACCTAAGGTATGTATTCTTTCAACGCCTCCAGTTTCTGCTTTTGTTCCGGGGTGTCGTCCTGAGCAACCAATAATGTGAAGCACAGTCCCATAGCCAAGCTAGTTACTTTGAGTCCCGACAGCCTAGTAACCTGAAAGATTATATCATCATTAACTAGTTCACGTTTTGGTCCTTAGAGCTGGTTCAAAATTTTACAAAGTATAGCTTACCTCCTTTGGTGTAGTACTGGTCTTCTGCATATCACCGAGGCCGAGTTCTCCGTAGCAGGGTGAAGCTCCCCAGGCAATGACGGTTTCGTCGGCGGCTACGATAATGGACGTGTATCCCGTGCCGATGTTTTTGATATTCCATCCGGCCAGATCTTGGATGGGTTTGGGATACATGTTCGCTTCACCGGTCTTTTTTGTCTGTCCGAACATGAACAAACCGTTGTATTCTGTTACAGCCAAGGAGTAAGTCGAGCCACAATGAACCGATCTAACCCCTCGAGATTGGCTGTCGAAGTATTTGATCAGCCGGGGAACCTTAAAAAAGGGAACAACTTCAAATCCTTTTCACATATAGTCAGTGGGCATACATAAATCAAATCATCTAAAATCTAAAGGAACAATTCGTTCGGGCCAGTCTCAACTCCCTACACTGTAGGTTAATGGACTGACATCTATAAGAAAACAACTACTCCCCTGGCTAATACCACGAGGGCGTTGGATTATATCCGACAGGTGTCAATGCAGGATTCTTCACTGAAGTTATTCCTACATATGCTGTTGGTGATACAACTGCCGCAATCTATTTTCAATTATTGGAACACACTTGCAGACCGGTTTCGGGCTGTTTGGCCACTCGTCAGTGCAAGGTAGTGTTTCTATCATCAACATGAAGTCGATGATTTCCGATAATTGAAAATCGAATTCCTTCAGAGATCATTCCTCGAACTAGGCTGAAGCGAACAACAAACATTTGTCATCGCCCCATCTGCCGGTGAACGAGATAACCAACCGCATGTCCGAAATTTGCCTCGTATAAAGAAAAAACTTTTCACATATAGTCAGTGGGTATACTTGAAGACAGTCTATAAATCAAATCATCTAAAAGGAACAATTCGTTCAGGCTAGTCTCAAATTACCCACACTATAGGTTAATGGACTGACACCTATCAGAAAACCACTACTCCCCTGGCTAATACCACGAAGTGTGTTTGACTATATCCGACAAATCTCGGATATGTAAGTCAAAACAAATCATTAGAAATGATGGACAAATAATTGAAATTTCATTCTATCAACTTTCATATATGAAAAATATTCGTCTTTATTACCATGTATTCAAAAAGCTTTTTTCATTGAAAATTTGTCAGAAACGTGATATTCTGAACGCCTTGTATATCCCCAAGAAACTTCAAATTGGTGTAAAATAAAAAATTCAAACTGATCTCAAAGTAGAAAATTAAAGAAATGATAACTTACCATCTCGTCTTTTTGTTCAGCATGGCCGAGCCTTCCGAAGCCCCCAAATCCCCAAGAGAAAGCCCTCTTCTTGCTATCGATGGCCACCGTATGATTCTGGCCGCAGCTGAAGTCAACGATTTCAGTGACATCGACCGGAGATACGTGTCCGTCTTTGCTCTTCTCGATGTAGAGAACTATTCGCTTGGGGCTCGTCTGGTAGTTAAAACAGAGCTTGGTACTGGTTTTGAAATACTTTCCATCAGTGTTGTGGCCCAGCTGGCCATATTCAGGCAGCCCAAACGAATGCAGCCCTCCCTTTACATCCAGGATCACAGAGAATTCTGCCCCAGCTCCTACCTAATACGAAAAACAATGTAATTATACCGAATGATTTCTTTGGAAGTCTCTTTCTTGGTTTCTATTCCTTCATTATATAAATTAAAGGATTTTTTTACCAAAAAAAAATTACAATATGAAAAGATTAAAACACAGGTGTTTTTATCAGAATCAAACTAGAAGATAGCCCATATATAACAGTACTTCTTAGGAATATTGATATTGTTCCTCTCAGTCTGCACATTCAAGATACATTGAAATGGAAAAGTTATAATAAAGAACTTTACATAGATGAGTCTCTCTCAGTCTCAAATTACACCAAAGTTTTCAGATGAAAATACTTGGTTTTTGCAAAAAACCGCATCAGCCGTAGCTCTTTGCGGCAAACAAATAAAATATATCTAAAATATGCAACTGTTTACAATAAAGTTTAAATAAAAGGTTACATTCTTTAAGAAATTCAACAATATTGTTGGTATTTTGGAAAATTTTCCTTAGGTTGGAGGGAATTTTATTGTTCAGTCTCTCAACTGTGAAGAGCGCGCTCTCTACCAGAACATGCTTAACAGTCACAAGCACTTCCACTTCACACGCGAAACGTTTTGGTGGCGGTTCTTTACTCAGTAGATGTTCTATCGTGACTTCACAATACAATATAAATTTAGAATGTACTAGATGAGAATAATTTTTAACCAGTGACATTTTCCATTGGTGAAAGCTATGGTCACCCTCAAACGAACTCCTGAGCTCCATATTGAGTTGAAATCTTTCAAGGTTCCGAGTTGATTTAACTGAAATTCTCAATAACATTTATATCACCGGTCAAAATTCTGTGAAGACATTTTATAGTCTTGTGTGACTGAACTATATTTACAAGTTCCCCATGAAAGGACAATACAACTAATGCATATTGATTTTAAAGGGTTAATATTCAGATTGATAGAATTTCTACTAATAAATCCCAATAGCTGCAGAAACATACATATGAGGAACAAAGCAAAGGGATTTGACCAAAACACCCCAGATCATAAACTTCATCAATGCTACTTATTAAAAGATTGTTCAAGAAATAACTAAACTTCACACCATTATCACAAGAGTGTTGGTGTTAATTAACAAGTGATGCCTATAGTCGGCGTTTACTAATTGCGGTGAAAAAAATAAAGACTTCATCTGGAACTAATTTTATGAAAAAAGTCAATTGAAGCTTGGGACCTGAAATGCATTGTTTTTCAGGTAATTTCAAAAGAATGGCGACGTTTGTCAGAAGAAATGTACCTGTTTTCATTTGAGGTGTTTTTACAAGTGAATTTTTCATATTTAGTAATTGGAAAGAGGTTACTTTCCAGAAACATTAACCCTCTAAAGAAAGTTGAGTATGTAATCTTTTTATAGTTTATTCAATTTTTAGGCAGTTTTTTTAAATACGACAAGTTACTGACTAATTGGACTCTTCAGTAGCTTATATTACATAGTAGCTTCTCACTTCAACTCCTTCACTATTGACTTACCGGTTTATTTTTCAGACCGTGGAAAATTAAATAAGCAAAAACAGCAATAAACATTGACTCCTCCACAAATAAGTAAATATGTTTTTAAAAAATCCTCTTATAAAGTTCTTTGTTTTTAAGTTTTTTGTTACTTTTCAAAAATTGAGATTTATATATGCATGTTAGTATCCTCTTTTGAGATCCGATCACTTTCTCTAAACATGAAAATATTATAGATGACTGTATTGTTATTCAAATATGGCATTTTTAATATAAATTTTGATGTTTTACCTCTCAAATATCTTACAGTTATAGAAAAGCTTTTACTATCTTTTAGTTTACTTACTTTATAACCTTGTACAAGTTATTGTTATTTAAACTACATAAATAAGTAGCTATGACTATGGAGGATTCTTTCATTACAATAGTCAACTAGAGCTGTCACATTTGCAGCTTTTTAACAGAATAACCTGGCTGGAGTATTCTTTAAATTGAATTACAATTTGCAAAGTTGTATTTTCTTCATATAAGACTAAGGAACTATGTTGTATCCTGTGTTTATTAATTCTTTTTTTTTTCATATCTGAACCATAAGTTTTTTGATGTACTTGAATGATTTTTTTATCATACCATTGTTCCCGATTAGTTATCCAAAAACAAAAACTTTTTCCAATCACCAGAAAAGCAATATTTTTTTGATGCGTGTTTCACCAATCAAGTTGTCATTTTCAGATGCCAACTTGGTAGGTGAAACATATACTTATTCTTGTAAAAAAAATTGCTAGCATCTGCTTCCTAATCAAACAGCTGAGGCAAACTGTGTCTCCAAAAATTATAAAAGTACCTATTATGGTTTAACGAATTATCTGTTGAGTTATGGTTTAATGTTTTAGGGAAATTCACATCTACAAAACTATTTGTTACGCAAAAAAAAATAATAAGCTATACACCCTTGTAGACAATTTTTCAGAAGCTTGTACCTCGTTTGTAAACATATTTGATCACAATGAATATAAAAAAGGGAGTGGAACTACACCAAAAACAATCAAATAAATGATTATAGCACTAGCAGGAGAAATAATCTGCATGTACCATTTTCAAGATAAGGATTAAAACAAAATTGTCATTTATATCAAGGAACCCTCTATTATAAATCATTTTATTAATAAATTTGGAGAGATTGAAAATTTCAGTACATTGAGAAATACATGAGAGTCTGATCCACTTTCCAGCCATCTGAAGCATGTACTTTTGTAACAATAGTTATTGTTTGTTTTAATATTTTGTAGTAATTATTTTATTAAAATTGTGATGAGAACATATAGAATGTAAGGAGGATGGATGAGTGTGTATTGTAAGTATTTATGTGCGGAGAGAATGAATCTTGATTAGCCTGATACGTCTTGCACTTCTATATAAAATTTCAGCAACGAAAAATACATAAAGTCTCATAATGTAAAATTACGACAAGTTCTGAAGGATTTTTCAATTGTTCTTCTACGCAGTTACTTTCTGGGTATACTTTTCAGTTTACCCTTATTCCCACTTCATTTTCCAAATTGTAGAAGATAGTAAACACAGAAAAACAGCAAGGAACACTGACTTCTCCACAAAAAGTGTATTTCAAGAATAGTAAATGTAAATTTTTCTTTACTCGTAAAGTTTTTCATTGTTATATATTAATGAAAGAATAGAAAGCCAAAAAAGGTAGATTTCCTACCATGTACCTATCTAAAAAAAATTCCATAAACTGAATGATTTCTGACCAATTCTTCTTATGAAATGTACATAAAAAATAAAGAATACCTTAATAATAGGAGGCCCACGATAATTGATCCTCGTCGGAGTAAGAATCTGTGTTTGCAGATTCCCAACTCCACACTGTCCAGACTTGTTATCACCACAAGCATATACGGTTCCTGAATCGGTAAGGAAAAGAGTATGGTGTCGACCACAAGCCGCTCCGATGATATTCATGTTCTCCAGAGCAGGTACGGGCACTGGAGTAGTCTGGGAGGTAGTGCTGTCAATGCCGAGCTGACCGTTTGGATTGCGGCCAAACGTCATTGCTTTGCCTTCTTCTGTTACAAGAACACTGTGTCCCGCTACGCAGCCACTCACAACAAGACGGATCTATTGATACATTAAAATACCATAATCATGACGCTATAATCAAACAGGTAAATATTCATTTCAACGGTTTAGTTTCTGAAAAATTTTCAATTAGACTTTCAAACTTATGTTCATGAATCTGAAGTTTACTACTCGAATATGACACCTTATTTTTCACACCCGTATGCTGCTGAACTAGATTCACTCGTCACTTTTTTTTATAAAGTGTTTGATTACATCAAAATTGTATATTTCCTAACAAACTGTCTTCTCCAACAAATGTATGTTCCATTTGGACTACACCAATATTGTATTTGACAGAACTTATATATTGTCAATGCAAAACGTGTCCACCTCTAGTTTCACCAATAGAAATCGCTGTCTACATTTTTTCAAAAACTAGTGCAGGTCGTTACAACGAATATTTACCATAATAATAAACTTGCAGAAGTGGCATTACTAACCCTAAGATTTGTGAATCTGTGTGGCCAATACATCATAGGCAGGACCTTCTGTCCTTTGATTTCCCTCTTTCCCATGGTATCCCAATTGGGATTTCCAAAGAAAATAAACTGGCCAGCAGGTTTAATCATTGAATTAAGCAGTTCTTTTGGCAGTGGGGTTGGTTCGTCAAGGACATCTCCATGTCCAGCAATCAAAACTTCGTCGGGCTGGACCCTGTTTTCATTGTCACCGCCGTCACTCATGTCAGAATCAACATCGAGATGGTCTTTCCTTTTCCCTTTCTTGTTTGCAACCTTCTTTGCGGGTCCCCTCTTTCTTTTTGTGGAGGTGGACACTTAAAGTGAAAAGGTTAATTATGCCAACGCTTACCTCACAAACAATCGGTTCAGGTCATTCCTCCAAATACTCACTTTTTACGATTTTCAAAACCGCTTATTTACAATTATTTCACGTTGTAGCCTGCAGGATTATACACTAAAATTAGTAAATATTGAAAGTAAAAATGGAGAGAAAGTAACACTTTTTTGAGGACCGGCTTCAACACAAAGCAAAATGGCTAATCATAGCCAAAGGAAAGGAGACGAAGAACATCCAAGCCAAACAACTGGGTGCACTTTTCAGTGTTTTTATTAACGGTATTCTCATTGTGCTTTCATCAGCACAAATCACTAGATTATTACCAACATACAACTCGTAAATTTGAAGTTAGAGGAGTGCTTTCTAATGGAATATTTCCGTAACGTATGTCGTTTATCGATTCCGTAAGTCAATCAAACGTACATAATCTGTCATGTCTACACAGAACGTATTCAGGTTTTCTAATGTTGGTCATAAAAGTCAGAGTTCACAGAATAATATAAAAATTAAAACGTCATAAACAGGTGTTCGACTTATCTAATATCATTGCTCCGTTCGTTTGTAATTTGCTGAAAATAATCTGTCGAATTTCGATACATTGCACTAGTTTAACTAATTCTTCGTTAAATTGTACAAGACTCGTACTGGAGTAGGAAGTTCCTGAATATATTCGATTCGGAAAGTAATGAAGATTCTTGAACTTGTGTTTTTCATATAGTGAAATTATTTTCAATTATTTTCAACCCTGTATGCATACTGAAAATTACTTCAATGCATATTAATTTCTAGCAAGTTAGGTAGGTTTTGAATTTTCATTGTTTCCAAATTCGTTCAAAAATATTCATTTTCCCATTTTAGTTGCCTCCCATCGATATCTTTCTCACAGAGAATTCATCTTATCGATTGTGTATTGGTTGTTGCTATGTTACACTGATGACTGAACTTCGAATAGCTATATTACTCACTAGATGTATGAAAAGAAGTTATTTGGCTTCGAGCGTGTTTAATTGTATTATGAATGAAAAGCCCTCAGTTGTATTCTGCTATATAACTTCTGCAGGGTCGATGAAAAAATACATAGGCGTCATCAATATAATACGATAAAATATTTTTTTATACAGCATCTTTTTCTTCCACAGGTGGAAAAGAAAGACCAAACAGTTAATATTGGCGTTGATCAGAAGGAATGTTGTTTAGATGATCGCTGCTTATACTCGGTATAGAAAAATACACAAACGTAAGTCGTTCGCAATGGATGACGTCTTACTATCGCTCGACAGATTATATTGTTCATATATCCTTTTTTACCACACAATCAATTTTTTTCACAGCTAATAATATCAGTGGATATTTCATATTTGACATATTTCACAATAACTAAACTTCAGCACAGTGAATTAGTTCATTTGCCAGATAAGGGAATTGAAAAATGAAATATAGACTATGTTTTTACATGATAAATAATGAAGTATGGGCGGGAATTTCAAAATCACTCGTCATTCGCAATGTATAAAATAGAAAACTTGGTATTCTTGATACATTGACAGATATGCGATTTCATTGTATTGGTAAATTGACGTGGATTGGGGTTGACATTCAGATATATGCGACTGATATCGGATACACAAATTTTTGATCAAAATTGTTGATGTTACAAGTGTTTTTTTTCGTCAATCCAAGTGTATAGGAGTAATACAACGGATCTATTTAAATATGTAATACCTATCAATATTGGTTTTTGTTAAACGACATCGATATTAGTAATAGTGTTAACTTTTTCAATGCTTCTTCCAATATTTCAGATTGCAGTTTAGAAACATAGAAGACTGCTTCGTTGCCTTACTCAAACGCTTACTCAAACGCCTCTGTCCTAGCTCTTAAAACTCGTCATTGGCAACTGGCTGATAATAACCTTCCATCTGTAATATGCGAAGAGGAAGGAAGAACTTAACCTTATTAAATTAGTTCCACAAAATTTGTTTAAGTTTTACATGTGTGAAAAAAACATTATTAAAGTTCAACAATGTCACAGAATGAAGAGGAGTATTTTCCTCGAGGAGGGCAAGTGAAAAAAAACTTGAAAAGACCAAAACAGGATGATAATGTATGTCGGTAATCGTTAATTTTTATTAAATTTCTAAATGAACAATATTTTTCTTTATAGTTGTTCTCTCATAAAACCCATGATAAAACCAAGAAACCAAGAAAGGAAAAAAAATCGCCAAAGGAAACGTTGAATGATGATGCGTTTCATTCCTTGTTGAAAATTCAGGGGTCTCTATCTTACAAAGTAAGTACTGAATCAGTTAAATGAAATGAATAAAAACACTTTTGTCTAAATACCACTGGAAAATTTTATTTATGCGACCGGTTTCGGGTTTGATCCCATTACCAAGTATTATACTTGATAATGGGATCAAAAGTGTTTTTATTCATTTCATTTACCATAAATTAAACAAGTCATCAATCACACATATAGGTACTGAATAAAAAATTTCATGGATGTTGACATACATCATTGAATATTACTTGTTTCCAGACAATTCGGAGCGGTATGCTCATTTTGGGGTGCATACGATGTACAACAAATTTTACAATAGAAGTGGAATTACCAGGTCTAACTTTTGGCCATATCAAGATCATACACATATCAGACCCACTCACCAAATATTTAAATGAAAAGCTAGAGAAACAGGATGATGAGGTAAGGAATTTTTGCAAACTCAATTAGCAAGTAACAATTATTATAAATTAGCATTCATCTCAAGTTAAATATTTACCTGGGAATTAACTAATTTAAACACAAAAATTGACCAACAGTCAAGTACTTATTGGTCAGTCGGTAGCCAAGAGGTTCGGCGTGGGTGCTTTGTTCACTCACTCGAATTGACTGCCGTGTTGGTCGGTGGTTCAAGCCCTAGTCTGAACGATGGATCTTCACTTGCTACCGTCCAACCCGTGTTAGGAATCACACGTTAAAAGGTAAGACCTCGTTAATCCTTAGCTCGCACAAGTTTCGACTTCTGAGGGTTGTTTTTCGTAGGGGTGCGACAGCTGGTTAACGGAAAAACAGATTTTAAACAGAACTGCAAGAAAATTTAAAACAGTGCTCATCTAATGTGCATACCCTACATACAACATAAAAAGTTGTATTGGCTATTTGCATGAATATCAGTCAATTTTGTTAGTTATTCCTTGTAGTAGACTAATAATATGATGTACTATTCTTTGGAGAATATTTGTTTTAATGGCTAGCACTAGTTTTTGAAAATTTTGTACGTAAATTACAAATCTGCAGTCAAAATTTGGTGATGCAGTCCACTTTCGGATATAAGACCACTCGCTTCTGGTTATAAAAACTCGTAAAATTACAGCCTCTTTTCAAAATCACTTTCTGTGAATTTTTATTCACTTGCCAATTCCATTTGTTTTTCATAAGTCCCTTCAAAATTTTTAATTTTTGTCAATCTGCATCATAAAAAGTAAGGAATACCACCTGTTCTGTCATGCAGAATGTACCTTCCACAGTGTCATATTTGACGTTTCTGTGGTGTTTTATTTAAAGGAATGCTGAATTGTTAAATACGTAGTAACAACAGATGTGTATAATAATATATTCAGTACCAAAATTTAAAAAAAAATATGCTGTCAACAAAAATACTAAATAAATAATAATAAATGTCATTTATTGGTGAATACCAAAGGGCCATCGACCCAAGTCCCTCAGCAAGTACAATTTTTAAATATTTACAGTGATTTTTACATATTTAATAGATTTGAAGTACATTATATTTCTTACAAAAAAAAAAATATGAAAGTGATTTGATGTTTTCCCAAATAGTTTTTTTCAGGTAATTGAATTTGGTTGGTTGTCTTACAGCTCTTTCTCTTCATAATGCTTGCGGGGTGTCCAAGCTACTTTCATTTTTGGCAAAGCGGTTTCCTAGGTCTGATAGTCTCTCCTTCATAGGTTTCACTGTTGTAGTTCCATACAGCAGTGTGTTTGAGGGATTGTATAGTATGTTCTGAGGGTGACACATATTGGTAATACTTCTTAGTGTAGATGTTTCAGCTGTTTGGAGATTATTTAATGCAGCATTACAATAACTTGAATAAATTACATATGCATATTCAAGAAGTGGACAACATATCATTTTATATATTTTAGTTGCAGTTTTAGTGTTGATTCCTTTTTTTTTAAATGTCAGACTCCAAAAGTGTTTTTCGCTATTGATGCATTACTTTTTAATAATTTTTGTATGGCTGTTCAAGTTAATCTGGTGGTCAATGTTAACTCCCAAGTATTTGACTGATTGCCTGCTTCTTACCATTCCGTTGATAAATTGTTATTTTTCCGGGTTTGGTCTCAATTGCCATTTATTGAATCAGTTTCTCTATTGTGAGTGCTAGCGTGTGGTTGTGTGAAACTAAGACAGTGTCATTTGCATAGTGTAAGATGTAAAGGTTTTCATTCTTGTCTTCCAAGTTGTGATTGTATATATCGTGGCAGTATATATTATAGAGAATTGGAGATAACCGAGAGCCTTTTGGAACTCCTTGTTGGGGAGCAAATTTATTTATTAATGAATTTGTGACTCTGATTGCGAGGGTTCTGTTCTCAAAATATTTTTTTTATTATACAGAGAAGATAGATAAGGGTGTTCAATTCGTGAAGTTGTAAATTGTAGCTCTTTATTTAGAACCATTAATTGAATATCAGATTTAAATATGAAAATTATAAAAAAAAATCAAAATTCGAATTTTGTGTTGAAATTCGGGATGTAGGGTCAAAATCGATTTCCAAACAACTTTTTCAAATAAATTATTTCGATATCATCAACAAAAAGCAATATATCGAGAATTTGCCCTTTTCACAGGAACGCAGTAGGTTGGGTTTAAGGCAGTAAAATAGTTTTATTTCGGTGAAAGAGAAGTTTTTTATTTTGTGAAAACATTTGAAATGGGTTGATAAAAATCCACAGCATTCGATCATGAAATGTAGTTGCGCCATTTCACAAGAAGTGGGTTTTTGAAATTGCAGATTTTTTTATTTATGACTTTATAGTGACTGTATTTCCGAAAATAGACCGAATAGTGGACAAAAATATGTAAGTCTAATTGAAAATGTCTCAAAAACTAGTGTGAGCTGTTGAATTGAATAGTTACCTTATTGTTTTTTATCAATTTTACTTTCAGGCTTCTGAAATCTTGGGAAAAATATTCAAAGTTGGGCAATTCGTTCTTGTGAAAGTTCTGAATATTGAAATCAGAGAAAACGGAGATTATGTGGAATGTTCCTTAAATCCCAGTGACATCTATAGTGAAAAAACACACAATACTTTCGAAAAAGGAATGCTGATGTGGGCTTCCGTTCGGTCTGTTCTTGATCATGGCTTTGAACTTGATGTCGGTGTTAAGAACTGTAGGGTGTTTTTACCCTCGAAGAATGTTGACGCAGGAAAGGATTTAGGTAAATTTTTCATCTTGAATGATTCTGGAAAATTATTTTCAATATATTATTGATGACTTTTGTAGCTATTGGGGAGACTTTGTGGTGTACCATACATAAATGTGACAGTTCAAATACAGCTACAACCTTGAGAGTTAGCTGTAGAGATGAACACTTGAAAGCAACAAAAATTGATGAAATCAAAACTTTGGATGACCTTATTCCAGGAATGCAAATTGAAATTCTCATCGAAAAGGTAGGATTCAGCATTGTAATAAAGTATTTCTTTGAATATTTTACATGTATTTATCAAGTGATGTGATTATATTTTGCATCAATTATTATTATTTAGTATTATGACTGTCTTCTATGCTGAAAAACTTGATTACTGTAATGTTAAATACAATGTTGTCAACATGGAGTTTCTTTCATATAGTTTGTATTTATTTTCTTCTAGATTACTGCGAAAGGTATACATGCAAAGTTTTTGAACGACTATTTCGGTTTCGTAGATGAAAATCAGTTGAGCACACCTTCAAAAAAATTGGATGATTATAAGGAAGGCAAACTGATAACTGCCTATGTGTTATACATAGACCACCCTACCAAAATAACGTATTTGACTTTACGGAATTTAGACACTGTTCCTGCACCTGTAACTAAAATTGGAGCAATTATGTCAGCACAGGTATGATAATAAAAATGCACAAATTTTATATCTATATTTTTATTGTAAACCCTCTGTTTTCTAGGTTTTATCAAAAACTTATAAGGGCATATACCTGAGACTTCCGTCCGATGAAAAAGGGTTTGTTACCAACAAGAGACTCATGAACTGCCTTCCAAAGAATGCCAACTTGGACATTTCGGAATCGATCAGTTTGAAATTTGGTGCGGGATCCAAACATACCTGCAGAATATTGGACTACAACCGTTTGTCTAGATTGTACATTTGTACTGTTGAGCAGGCGTTGATCAAAGAACAGATTTTCATGCCTTCCGATGTGAAAATTGGCCAGGTTGTGAATGTCACGGTGACATCCGTGAAAAATGAAGGCTTGGAAGTGTCTCTTGGCCATACAAAGGGGTTTGTGCCTAATTTGTTTCTGTCAAATGTGGAGTATAGCGAGGCGATCAAGAAAAAATACCAGGAAGGTTTCAAATCTAAAGCAAGGTGAGAGTTTTGTTTTTTTTTTCAATATTCAAAGTCGGAAAAACATTTTGAAGCAAATTGTTTTATAGTTTTTCAAAATATTCTCCTTTACAATGATTCGACGTTTAGGTTGTCAAATTAGGACTTTTTAACTTGCCTAAGAAGTATGTAGTACATATTGAGAATCAATTCTATGGTTATTTTCCACGGATAGTTATAGCAATAACAGAGAGTCATCCATCTTCCAATTTTTCAGAGTTTTGAACATTGATAACGATACTGTGTTATTGACGATGAAACCGGGCCAAGTGGATTCCGAGAACTGCCTAACGGATCTGTTGCAAGCCAAAAGAGGGGATCAGTATACTGGAGTGGTAATCCATCTGAAGTCTGAAGGAGCACTTGTATTGTTTTACGGAAACGTCAAGGGCTGGTTGAGTAGAAATTATTTAGGAGGGCGAAACGGCAAAGAGAAGCTTGACGTGACAAAGTATTTTTATCGGGGTCAAATTGTAAGTTGGTTTTTGAGTGTGGTTTTTATAGTTATATAAAAATTTTGTTTAGGTTAATCCTTGGGTGCTGCGCGTCAAAAGTGATAGGGTTATATTGGGCCTGAAGCAGCCAGAGGAATTCAAACAATGTCTTGAGCTTGAAATAGGCCAGAGAGTTAGTGGGGTAGTCGGAAGAGTCATGAAAGATAGTATCGAAGTCAGATCAGTCAAGAAACAGGTCATTGGAAATATTCCTGTTAATCATCTCGGTACTAGGGTGTCTTTATGTCCCTCTCTAATGAGTGAGTAAATTTTTTCATCACGTTCACACATCTCTTCATTTATTTGTATCACCTAATGGGCTTGTTTCACGATTTTTGGTTTACAGTTCATTTGGTAGTAAATTCAAATTGAAAAATAGTGTACTTTGTTTCAGCTCTGTAAATAGCGTTGTTTTTCCGTAATTAATTTTTAAAAATCGGATTTTCTAGGCCAGTGACGTCACGGGGCTAGTCCTGCTTCTTGTTCGATTGACCAATAGGAACAATACAATTAATGAACATTGCCAAATTGTAAAATTCACGGAATTTATAAACAGTTTCTCATTCATTTGTGATTCAAAGTAAAATCACACTCCCGACAACTAAATCTAAGAAAAAAGTGTAAGGAATGTATTGGAAGGAAGAATTATTTATACATGGGATTCAAATAACACAAAACGCAATAAAAACGTTATTTTTGAAATAACTCCGACAGTAGACATTTTCATGTTGATATCACAGAAATTTTAATAATGGAAGTGTATATGAACCCGTTCACTTTTAAATTCATGAAAAAATTCTCCATATGAAATAAAATGTACTCGAAAACCATGGTTCTAAATAGAATTTAACGAGTTATAACCCTAATATAATAAATCAATTATGCATTCATGCCACCCACCAAAAATAAGAAATTCAACGTTATATATTAGCCATATTGCCACCCAGTCAGCTATCTCTCTTGAATATATGAGACAATGTACTCTTTCTAATGTTTCATAACTTCATATTTTTGAAAAAAATAATTGACACTTGGCAACACCGTTGTAGACACCATCAATTGTATTGGTCAACAGACACGCCACCAATTTAAACTCTTGCTTCCTGAATTTTTCTTTTTTCTGCAAATATAAAGAGGTATTGGGAGCGATTAGGCTCGATAAGTATAATATACCCCTAACTTGATCAGTCTATAAGCAAACCAGTATCATTATCAACAAGCCCATTGAAAAATAACACTGTTCCTAATGCTATTCTAACTCACAAAAAAATGATTACTTTAGCACAAAATGCTAAGAACTCATGTTCTTAAGCTTCAATTAAACAATCGAACGTAATTTCAGTTTTCTGAAAAGTAATATACTTTTGTAACATTTTGCAATTTTTTATTTTGTTGCTTAAGTGTCTTTAGCCTTTAGTTACGAAAACGTATACCGCCAGATGTCAGTGCGATTTCGCCCGATGAAATAAATACAAACTCCTCCCTAATTCTTGAGCTATGTAATTCTTTATTTATGTAAAATCAGCTCTTGAGCTGTTGTCATATTAATACCATAAAAATAACAGTTCCTTGTAGGATAGAATAAAATAACTTCATTTAAATGTATAGCTATTTATCGATCATATAAATTTTGAACCTAATTTTCTTATATACTGCCTTTTTTTATTTTATAGTTTTGAGAGTTTTCCACATTTGCTGGAAATAAAGTCTCCATGGGTCTATTTTGTTGAATGTACAGGTGCTTCTCAATTCTGATTTTGATCAAATTGCATTATAATTACGATACTGAAAACTATCATCAAGTTGTTTCAAAAGTTTGGTCCAAAAATCGCTCAACAACATTATATAGTAATAAGGCAAAAAGTCAAAAATTGTACTACAACACAGAAGGAATATTAATTGAGACAATGGACTAAACTTTTGAATCAACCTAACACTGAGACAAACCCAAATTTCTCTTTATACTTCAATTGAGATTCGTTTAACAACTACTTAATTTTTCCAGTCCACATTAGCTTACTTCACAGGCCACCTGAATGACGTTAGAGCTCTGAGAAATTTTGGAAATGAAAACCAATGGAATTTGTGTGAGTACCTTCCAGGAGAAAGAGTTGATTGTCAAATCGAACGATTGGGTGAGAAAGGTGGATGCTTGGTTAAGCTACCCAATGGTGCCCCTGGTTTGGTTAGTCCCGGATTATGTCCAGGTATGTATTCAATATTATTGTTTGTACATGAACTGAAATCAATTTTTGAATGATATTTCAACTTCAAGAACAACATTCAGTAGTTCAAATGCTCACCTAATTGTATTGGGTTTTTATATTCAAAAGAAGTGATTATAATTTCAGAAGTAAAATTTTCATTATTCACTGTAACATTTTGTCAAGAGCTATCACTTTCTTTTCTAACATTATTTGTTGTGGGAAAGTAACAAATGCTTGATAATGTATAAGTATGTTGGCCAATCAAAACACTATAAATAATACTGACAGTATTTATTTCTCTTGTTGAAAAGTATACAATTTCTTTTAGAAAAAATTGTGTGCAGTTACACGGAAAACATTACTTGAGGTTTAAAAAATAAAAAAGTAGAAATATCTAACGACAAAGGCCCTGATACTTGAATTCTTGAAATAGAATAGCAACTCTAGCAGACTAGAAAGAAGAATGAGGGTACCTCACTTATTCGTTAAAAATTATTTGGTGTAACAGTTTTCACTTTTAAAAATAAAAACTTGTTTTAAAAATCACATTATATGTTATTGTTCTTAGGAATTTTATATTATTTTTGATGAAATAAAACCAGAATAGCTTCATGCATAATTACAGTTATTAATGTAATAATGCTTCTCCAGTAATCTTGTCACTAACAAATTTCAACTGTATTAAAATATAAATACATTATTGGAGATATCCACATAATTGTGAGAGATTCCCCTGTACTTGAGTTTATAATTTTCTCTTCATTATTGGTTGCAGTGCACTATTGGAAAGAAAGCATGTATTGAGACAGGTATACATGGTTGAAAAATTTCATACATATTCTGAAGTTTTGAATATACATATTATGAATCTTTCAAAGATTTCAACACTATAATTTGCTTAAAAAATTACCTGAAAAGATACTTTTTTGGGTGAAAATGATTTCAAAAAAGGAATGATTTTTTATTTTTCAGGCAAGGTTGAAGTAGGAACTTCGATAACGGGAGTGTTTTTATCTCAAAACTTTCACGATAATTATACTGAAATTGCTCTGAAACCAGATATTTGTCAACGGATCAACAAAGTGCAGGGTAAGTTTATATAAATTTTCATTAGTTTCCTCCATGGCGAATTACCCCAATAATATTAAAAATATAATGAAATCATCAAAAACTTGTTAAAATTGTTATCTTGGTTCCAGATGGGTCCACGCAATTAACAAGTTTGTCATCTTGTTTAATGGAAACTGTGGTAATCAAACACGATTATGTGTTAGGAGTACTAAAACAGGAAAAGGGAAACCGGCAATTGGTGTACATTCCAATTTTTCTGCACGAAAACGACCAAGAAGGATCTAGGAGTTACTATGAGAAGAGCAAAGTGAGAATTAATATAATCGGGTGAGTATCACAAATAAAGGAAATTTTCAGATTGAAGTAAGAGAAGTTTCCAATGCCAACGATTAGTTTTATGACCTTTACTATCACCCCATAGCCATAACTTCACTTTCTTCCTAGTTTAGTGTTTTATTTCGTTTTCTACTTTTGGAATATGTTGGGATACAACTTCATATTCTCTATCTCTCTATTCCCTTGACTCTCTCCTCTTTCTTCGCCCTTTTTCTCTTTTCTCTAGTTCCTCTTGTCTTTCCCACTCTCATTTCTCTCTTTGTAGACTGTTTTCTCTCAATCACTTGAAATTCTTTTAAAAGTTAGTATTTGAAAATCATCTTTTCTTTTGTTCCAAAATGTGAATTTAGAAATATTCTTATCTCGCCTAAACTATGTGGATTTTTTTTCAGAAAAGTTGAGGACTACCTAATTGGCATGAGTAAAAAATTATTATCAACTTTTGAGAAATCTAAATTAATAAATTCCAAACATAAGGAATTGAGAAAGAAAAAAAAGAAGGCCAAAGTTGAGGTTTCCGAATCTGAAGATGAACAAATTGATACGCAAGAAGTAGAAACTGAAGAAGAGGATACAGAAGTCAAAGAGGAGTCTGAGGAGGAAGAAGAAACTAGCGGAAAAGAAGATAGTGGGGTTGAAGTATCTGAAAATGATCGTGAAATGAGAGATAAACAATTGAAACAAACTGGAGTAAAACGGAAGTTACAGAGCCCGAACAGTAATGCAACCATTACTCATGATAAAAACTCTTCTAGCCCAGGTTCAGCTCCTGTTATGTCGGGAATTTCGTCTTTCTTTGCTCCAGAGTCTAAAATGGAACAAGATTCGTCTTCAGATGACGAAGGGGAGGTAATATTTACCTTTTTGTTGAAAATTATCTTTTAATTAAATGTGGTATCTTGTAGCCTACAGAAGTTAAGAAGAAGAGGAAGTTGACACCGGCAGAGAGGGCGAATTTGGCGCGAGAAGAAGAGGAACGGATCTCGAAGATAGAAAAAGAGCTTGCGGACTCTACAAAGGCACCTGAAAGCGCTGAACAATTCGATAGGCTGTTGTTGGCGAATCCTAATTCCTCGGAACTTTGGACAAAGTATATTGCTCTTCACACGGCAGTAGGTATCTCATTAGTCGATGAATCTAATTTCAATGTTGGAGGTGTATTTTTCAAGAACAAATATTCAATGTTTTGTTTTAGGCAACTGAATTTGACAAAGCAAGGGCTGTGGCAAGAAGAGCTTTGGAATCTATAAATTTGACTCTCGTTGATGAAAGGTTCAACATATGGTTGGCGTTATTGAATCTGGAAAATATGCTGGGTACTAAGGTGAGTTTTGAACTCAAGTTGTAGTTTTGAATTATTTGTACTGTGTACTGGTATCAACAATTTCAAGTATTCATCACTTATTCTGTGGTCGTTCTCTATGGCATGTTGAACAACACTGGACTTCTGGTCTATAGATCCATAATTAGCACGATTTTTTGTAGGAATCGTTTGACAAGACTTTCAATGATGCCTTAACTCACAATGATTCCTTGCAAGTTTATTTGAAAACCATACAGATGTTGGCCGAAGCTGGCAAGTTCAGCGAGATGGAAGAGAAAATACGAAAAGTCAGGAACAAGCACAAGCAAGAACCTAGTATGTGGCTGGAGGTGGCTAAAGTGTATTACAAGATCAATCAGTTCAAGGAAGCCAGGAACTTGAAGGATGCTTCGTTGAAATCTATTATGGACAAAAAAACTCGTAAGTTTGTTTGGTCAACATTTACAGTCAACATTTAGTTTCAATCAGGTGTCTTCATTTGGATGATAACTTGTACTCAGGACATCAAGAAGAAATAGGTTTAAAAACATTAGTCGTAGGCAATTTTTCAGATTCTTAGACGAATTGACGACATACTTAATATTATGATTGTAAAGTTTCTGTGGTCATACTGAAACAATTCAGATATCAGAGTTGCAATACAAAAAATAATGTATTTACAGAATAATTAATAAAGTGCTGACAAATTTCATGAGATTGACCAATAATTGTAACATAGGGTTATTTTTTAGTAATTTTTCAAAAATGAAAGGTTACTCAGAGCAGTAACTACATTATTTCATCTGCACTAGTTCTTATTTTTAGGATATCTATACGTTTTATATTGAAATTTCATAATTTATTACAGAAATGGAAATTATTGTTCGATTTGCGATCATGGAATATAAATTTGGGGAGGAGGAGCAAGGTGCAGCCATTTTTGAGACCATTTTGAGTTCTGATCCTAAGAAAGTGAACGTTTGGTCTACCTATGTTGATCAGCTTGTTAAGAAAAATAAAATCGATCAGGCGAGGTAAATATATTCATGACATTTAAATATCAAGTTTTCATATGTTGATTTGGAGGGTTTTATGTTGTGTGCTCAGTAAGAGATTCATTTTTTCTTCTTAGGAAAGTTTTGGAGAGGTCAGTTTGCCAACGATTACCTTTGAAGAGCATGAAGTCATTATTCCTCAAGTTTAGAATGTTCGAAGAACAACATGGAACTCTGGAATCTGTTGAAGCTGTGAAGGAGAAGGCTAAGGAATATGCTGCCAAAGTGTCTAATAGATAAATCTAAACTTGTTGTATTGTTATTCGTTTTTATTGTTAGTGAATAAACTAATTTTTTTAATTCCATTTGCATATTCTGAAAGTTTCTTTTTCTATCCTTCTACCGAATGTTAATGTAGAGGCGATGATTGTGATATAAAGCAGGGAGTTCCCCAGGGTTCGAATTAGGCCCCTTTTTTTTGTTATTTGCTAATGATCTAATTACGTTTATCAGTAAAACAAACTCTGTATTCGTTACAAGTTATGCTGACGATAAAAATATTTTGATTGTTGAAGACAACATGGAGGCACTCCATGAAACTGCTGAGGATACATATGATAAAATCATATTGTGGGCTGAAAAGAATAATTTGAAACTCAACAAATCTAAAACTAAAACCATATTGTTCAGCAGACATGGTCAAAGGGATTCGAATGTGATACTATATGAAAATAGTGAAAAATCAATTAGTCCTGTAGAAACTGTAAATATGCTAGGAATTGTTCTAGATAAAAAATTAATATGGAATCAACATATTGATACCTTATGCAATAAACTGAAGAAAAGCTACTATTCTATTAGATTCATGTCAAATCACTGCAGCTCTAGTATAATACTCTTAACATTGTACCATGCTAACTTCCATTCACACTTTCGATATGGCATTCTCAACTGGGGTAAGAGTGCTTCTGTTAAAAGGATATTTCTCCTCCAGAAATATGCAGTTAGAATAATAGCTAAGCTAGGGTACTGTGATTCATGTAAAGATGCTTTTAAACAGCTAAAAATTCTCACAGTTGCCAGCACCTACTTACATACTAAAGGCTAGTGCATACGTTTTCAAAAATAAATCCAATTTTCTGTCCTCTCTTCCAAATCATAACCACAATACTCGTTCGAAAGATCTAATCGTACCAAACGCTCATAGAACTTCTTTGTATGAAAAAAGCGTAGAGTACAGTGGGTGTAAATTATACAATATGCTTCCAACAGCTCTTAAGAATTCTCCAAATATTAATGTGTTCAAAAGTCAGCTGAAAAAAATGCTACTTCATAGGACTTATTGTTACACCATTCAAGAATTCACCAATCAACTAACCTGAGATCTTGAGCTTTAGCACATTTGGTTAAAGTGTTTACTTGAGAAATTGTGTGTTGATTATATTTTATTGGCTTTTTTATAGTCTATAACTAGTTACATTTATATTTTTATAGGTATTTATATGTTACTTTCATTACTTATGGATGTTTATCACTGTTTGTGTTATTGTGTTGTTTATATTATTTTGACTGACTTATAATATGGTTACATGTAGTTATATACATTTATATGTTTTTACATTTACTTTCACTATTATAATTGGCATTTTCTTTGTTTATTGTGCATTGATTTCTGTCAACTGTACTTTTCAACCAAAGAAATAAATATTATTATTATTATTATTATAAAAGGTATATTAAGCCCTCAATCTTCCTCTAAACAGTTAATAGTAAATTATCAAGTAAAAGATACTATAGCTTGCAGAATATTATAGTGGCAATATTGATTGTTGCTTTGACATGTATATACAGGGCTATTCAAATTCGTTTCTGTACATGGGGATCTCGTAAACGATAAGAGATAGAGTGTCGGTTAAATTGTAGCAAAGTTGCGGATTTTAGAGACCTATTCAATGATGTGAAACAATCGTATATAGCTCTTCTGGTTCTGGAGATATACAGGAAAAACCAAAAAATCCAAAATTATTTTTTTGCCTATATCTTCAATATGTATATACATATTGAAAATCTGTCCACATTTTGCTATTGGCACTTGATGTGGGCTATCAGAATATGTCCATTAATCTTTTATATAGGGTGTCATCTGACTTGGGCCACCCCCATCTTTGAATTTTTAAATGTGGACCTGTATTTTTTGTTGTAATTTTTGGATCGTAGACGTTCACTTCATACTGAGAAATCAAATTTCATTTTATATTTCGGGATGTTTCGGTAATATTTGATTATAATTGGGTGAATTATTCCCTTTTTGAAATATAAAATTGAATTTAATTTCTCAGTATGAAGTGACCGTCGACGATACAAAAACTACAACAAAAAATACAGGTCCGTATTTAAAAATTCAAAGATGGGGGTGGCCGAAGTCAGATGACACCCTGTATAAAAGATTCATGGACATATTCTGATAGCCCACATAAGTACCAATAGTAAAATGTGGACATATTTTCAATATGTCTGCGAATAAAGAAGATATAGACAAAAAAATAATTTGGGATTTTTTGGTTTTTTCTGTATACCTTCAGAACCAAAAGAGCTATATTCAATTTCTTTACATCATTGAATAGGTCTCTGAAATCCGCAACTTTGCCGCAATTTAACCGGCATTCTATCTCTTATCGTTTACGAGATCCCCATGTACAGAAACGAATTTGAATAGCCCTGTATAATTCACCGTTCTTTACTTTTATCCTAAAAAATTACCAGCCAGTTTTATATTCCCCATCTCTTTCTCCAGTTACCTTTGAGGATCTCATGTTGGCGTTGAGGCTGAGGCTAAAGTCGATTCATGAATTTTTTCCAGGTTTAGACATAAAGTTTTATTAAGCAGCAAATATGTTGTGAATAATGTTCTTATTAGTGAGGTACAAATTTTGCTAAAATCTATCACGCCGACGATATGGCTCCAATTCCCATGCAAATCTGTTTTAACTTAATTCCTGATTAATCACATTAGTGGCGCTGATATTTGGCAGATTTAAATTCATAGGTGGCATAAAAATATCAGTTGAAACACCGTATAGAAGTAAACACCTTCATAATATGGAACCATGGGAATGTTATCTGCCATATGGCAATTCCAATAACCCAACGGGTTATTGGCCATCCGTAGCAGCCTCACGAAAACCAAGCCACTAAACGTGGACTGCTATTCCAAGAGTTGCATTTACCGGATAACCTATATTTACCTATATTGGTAAAAGTAAGAGGCCATTGAATGTTCGCATTGCCGAGCACAAGAAACAAACACAGCGAGGGGAAACCAGCAAATTAGGAATAGCAGAGCATGTTTTTGGATCCATCAACATAACATCGAGTTGCCCCAAACTGAGATCGTACACAGACAGGAACATTGGTTTAGGAGGAAATTCAAGCTAGCGTGGAGATACGCAACATATGGAAACCCGTCATCAAGCGAAAAATGGCCAACTCACGCCAAACGGTCATCTCCCAATAAACCGGTGAAGCGGTATAATGTTTTTTTGTTATTTAATTGTAAATATATTTCTTAAACATCAGAATGGATTCAAAATATAGTATTTGTTGTTTTTGTTTCGAGATTTTATTTCGAAATATTTATTTTCTTATACGTATGTAAGTATCTCTCCTCGATGATATAGTCTCCAGACTTGTTTTGATTTCTGACAAGAGTATTGGTACATAGGATGTTTTTCCTCGCTTAGGGTTTTGTTCATGAGATGGAACTGTTACTAGTTAGCAATCTTTCTTTTAAATGAAGGTTTCATATATGCAGTCGAGCAGCGTTGAAATTAATGTTCGCTCACCCGACGTACTCGACGTGGCAGAGTTGATCACTTCGAGCTTTTGATGTATGATGCGTTCCGAGCGGCACCTTCACGAAGGAGCGCCCGCTAAAGAGCTATAACGAGTTTTTCCCGCGGATTAAATCCTTAATACGTGAGAGGAACCGTCTCAGACGGCTTTATCAACGGACCCTCTTTCCATGGAATAAAATTGCGGTAACAGGATGGCCAACCAAGTAAAACAGGCCATCGTTGACTATCATTTGAGCCTGGGGATGACCAGATTCGGCGGGTCACCCGCAGCAGCGTACTATACGGTTCCCGCAGACTCAAGGCGAAGAAAAATACTCCCTCACCCATTCACGGAAAGCGCGGAGTGGTATACTTCCCCGCCGACAAAGCGTTAGCCTTTACCGATTCAATGGAACGTCAGTTCCAACTTAACGTCCACGATGACGATGACATCGACCGTGAAATGCTGTTGAAAGATCGGGTTCATCGCTTCCTCGGGGAAGATGACGACGAGAGAAAATTCTCCGGGGGTCGATTCTATAACAAATAAGTTGTTGAAGAGGTTCACTTGAAACTGCGTCGAAACGCTTTTGAACATCATTAACAGTTCACTGGCCCTCAGATACTTCCCCAGAATGCGATCGTCGTCATGATCCCGAAACAGAATCAGAACCCGCTGTTCCCTCAGAAATATCGCTCGATTCGGCGGCTAAGCTGGCAAAGGCTCAACGAAGAAGTCGAGGACCGAAATGTTCTGCCCAACGAACAATTCGGTTTCCAGAGGGAACACTCCACTGAGTTACAGGCTCTGAGACTGGTCGAAAATACTATCGCGGAGTTGAATACCAATGAAAAATTTTATATTGTCCTCTTAGATATTTCGAAGGCCTTCAACCATGTGTGGCATGAAGGCCTTCTTCATAAGCTACTCGCTTTCGACCTGCCTCAGGGCCTGATCCAGTGGATTGTGTATTTTCTGGAGGGCAGAATCTTTCAGGTTAGAGTAGAGGGCTCCCTGTCTGACAGCAGGGAGATTATCGCAGGAGTGCCACAGGGGGCCGTGCTCTCTCCCACGCCTAACTTAACGATTTTGAGTGCTGGTACCTCGATTGTAAGGTCCGAGTTAACAGCTTTTCTGTTGACTTAGGTACGGCATTCTCTATTCGGAAAAATCTCTACTCACGAAGAAAGATCATCAATTTTATCAGCCTCACACTCTTAGAATTTTATTAGTTGAATTATTTGATTTTCAATAACTTCGATTCATATTACACTTGATGAGAATGTGGTACACAATAATATTTTTGTATTTTTGGTCATACATTTCGTTTTCAATTATTGTGCATTCTAAAACACTATTATCATTTTTACAATGATGGAACTGAATGAAAAAGAGCTTGGATTATTTCAGATCAGAACTATTTAAGTGGTAGTTTAATTATTGTTTGTTATTGTTTATTCTGATTTCATATTGAAGTTAGATGGATTTGTTTCCAGAATGATTATTTAGATCAAATTCACAATTATTCCTGTCAATTTTTATAATAATGGAAAAAATAATTGTGTTATTCTATATTCCAGTATATTAGATCTTGATCTTTTCTATTACAGTAGTGTTGTTGACTGACACTTGCTGAAATTAATGTTCCATTGGGTTTGCACCGAAACTGAAATTTCACAGAACTACCTAGTGTACATCAGTGCGAACTTGTTTCATGTTCCTGAGCCATATGACAGTTGCCAAAATGAGTGAAAAATAAAGCTTAACCTCATTTGTGAATTTGTAAATAAAAACTTTACACGGAGAAAAAAAATTATGACAAATTCTTCCTAAGACGGATAACGATAGGCAATTTAATTTATGGTGAGTCGGTGCATTTTCTATTATAATTTTTTTTCATTTTTAATGTCTGTTCAGTTGGAAGTCCATGATGAATGTAAAAAAAGAACGTCAAGATGAAGCAGAGATTAAAGAACTGGCTGCAAAAATTGTGGAGGCAAACAACGCTAAAATGGCTATGTCCAAAATGCCTCCTCATCAAGGTGGACAGAGTATGAATATTTTAAGTTTTTTAACTGAGAAAACTAGGAACATCAACAGTTCATCCTCATGTACTAGTACTAGCGAAACAAAAAATATTGACGAAGAATCTACGAAAGGGAATTTTGGTTGGACCTTCCTAGGCAACGTGTACATCCCTTATATTCTACGTTCAGGCGAGAGTTATTGTGCTGTCCACATTGTGCAAACGAAAGTTTTGAATGCAACACTGAATTACATGCACCAAAGTCTCTTCAGTTTTATGAATGTTCGGAGCTACTGCATGACGGAAGCAGAGGCCAGATTGTTGAACGAAATTAATTTTAAACACTGCGACTATCAATTTGGTCGCAAAGAATTCACGCCGAAAGACCTCATAATCAGTCTTACTGATGCAAATGAGTTGTATACATTTTTAAGACATTGTTACGCAAAAGTAGTTAATGGCACAGATAGTGAAAAACTAGAGCGTTGTGGTTTTATCAGAATTAACAGAGAATCGGTAGTACCTTACACAATGTATAACGAACAGAAGTATGTTCCACTTTTTTATTTTGAAGGTGACACTAACTTGTTGCAGCAACAGGCTGTCAAACTTGAAGGATGGGATTTGTCATACTTGAAGTTCTGTTTCAGGATTCAAGGAATTAGGAAAGATTTGTTTGCTCACGACTCCTGTCCAGCAATTAGTTTAAATGATATTAAAAACTACTTTCCTCCAGGAACAATGTTTGAATACTATTGGCCAAGCAATACTTTTCAACTGATTAGACAGAATATCAATCACCAACAACAAGGTGCTCAGTGTCCTCAAGAGCCAATAGCTAATCCCCATCTTTCACAAAAACCTGGTGTCCAGGATGTAAATGTCAACACAATGACAGGCGGACCCACATACCATTCAACTCAACCTAGAACAGCCAAAAGTGCCGTGACATTTTGCTACCCCCCGGCACAATCAAGACTTCCACCTTGTTTCAATTTCAATATGAGACCGGCACCACCTCCTGAGGTTCAAGCCAATTCAACTCGGAAAACTGTACTTGAAGGTATCAATATGAAATCGAATGTTAGGACAGATGTGTTGGTTAGGTTACCTGATGATCATTGTACCGTAGGAAGTAATAAGAACCCGCAAGGAGTCTCTACTGATGTTAACAAAGGTATTGAAAAAATGTAACAGACTCACTAACAGTTTGGAAAAATGTTTCCAAGGTTCCTCAAATATGAACTGTATGTGGTCCTCACAATGTAAATAAATCGATATTTATTTATTCTACAAGTTAAGATGACATTTTACAATACAATTAAACATTACCCATCAATACCCCAAACAGGTCCATAAATGAATAATTTTTAAATTCATTATGCATGAGTTGAATCTTTTGAAAGTTTGAATACCTACCATGTCTGCTGACTATCCTGTTTCTTAAAGTCCTCCTTTGTAAAAAAAATATTTTCTGTGCTTCTTGTGATACACCCCAAAATGAAACTTTGCCTACAGAGGTTGCTGAATGAAATTGCACATGACATAAGACATTTGTTTAGCGAGAGTCCCAGGATTTTCAGTAAGTTCACTTGTTTCATAAAATTATTTAATGATTTTAAAAGTAAAATATGGTGTGAAACGTTGATTTTTTTCAACCTTGCATAGTGATTTATTTTTAGTTAACTCGTTTATATCAACATATCCGGTTGAAGCATTCATATGAAATGCTTTTAAATTTATACTTGTCTGATTTATCTATCAAAATTTCATAGTAAGAAGGCTCAATAATTAAGACAGAAGAAAAGTACTGAGGTTTGTTTTCTTTAACTTTATTTTCTTTGGGCTTCCCCTTCGTTTGTGAAGGCTGTTGTAAAGAATGAAAAGACTAAATTTGATACCAATTGTTCATACACTTTTGCAAACATAGATATAATGATGAGCCCGAAGTTTTCAAATTTGCTCTGCAACCAGCTTTATGTACATGTTTTATTTTTTATAAATTTTAAACTTTTTGGATGATTCTCTTTCTTTTGCTGAACAGTTGAAGCAAATGTTAGTGGGCCTGCAACCTAGCAAATTTTTCAAAAGATTAGAGCGCATTTCTTCATTAATGTAAAGTTTTTTGTTTCCCATTACTTGAATTATTTGTTAGTACGGAAATTCTGTTAATTACCATATTGAAAAAAGTTTAAAAATTTCACATAATTTTGTCATTGAAAAAATCTGTCAATTGACACTTTCAAATATGTCAATTGGTACTTTCCAAAGTTGCGACTTTTATTGAATGAATTCAAAGTATTCAGGATAATTTTGTATATGTATTCGTATTGGTTATATGTATGTATGTCCTACATACCTGGTACTGTTTTTAAATTCAGGGCCTTTTTTGTGCTGACGACAGACGCTACATCTTAATACTGCACTATCAACAACTTGCTTGTTACCTGTTTAGATGATAACTAATTAGGCATGTGATATTTTAAATGTCCTTTTAAGTTTTTAACTTTTAAATTACCTCTGATAATAAAAAGGAATGGTTGGGCAGTACTCTAGACATGACAGGTACGAAAGTGTAAATTGATAGATAGTTTGTCTATTGACAGATTTTCCATTTTCTGTATTGGCAGCATTACGCCATCGGAATTCTGTTTGTGATTCAATTTTATTGATATTCGGTAATGTGTTGTCACAAGTGATTTTTTGTGTTTTGTTAATTTCAATGTGTTTTAGATTTACTTATTTTTCTAGTTTGCTGTTATTTGCTACATTCAAAAACTGTTTGTAAACGTATGTCTTGATATTTTTTTGTTATAAATTGAAATATATTAATTTCTTATCAAGATTGGAGAGTAGACATATTTCCAAAATTTCTAGAAATCAGTAAATCCTTAGTTAGTAATGTCATTCTTCAATGTGACCTCTTTTTATAGTGATATTAAAGTTTGTAAATTGTAAACAAGTTTTATTTCTATAAGTTCGGCAGAGTTTCATGTTATCAAAAAATGTTTCGTATGAAAATTTTTGATAACAGGATTGATTGTATTTGGTATATAGTTTAGCCAAAAATAATGCAATTGTGTTGATATATTCAACATTACCCATATTCGAATATCTGTTTTGATATGAAGGTGTTTTAAAAATGTGTTTTCTTTATTATTAAGCAAAAATGTAACCACAATGTTTTTTTCTAATACTGGACGAATCGAATCCCGAATGGAACACAGTGTTCCATTTTTTCAAATGGAACACTGTGAAAAACTCATCAAAAATATGGGCTGTGTAGAAAAATACCTAGGGAGGTTCGAAAGTCATAGCAAAAATAATCAAAAAATATCTATTACTATTGTAGAGTGAAATAAATTCAAGAATTTTTGCATATTACATTGTAGGAACAGCATGAATTGACATGCAAGGTATATCAAATAGTAGGTTCCCAAGGAATGGCAAAAATATGTTTACATCTACCAGAATTACCACCCATACACTGGCAATGCCCCCAATCACTTTTCCTTCGATATCAAAACAGATATTATTCAAATACGTTTTCTTTGTCAGCTTTCACCATTACACTGGTTCCATCTTCACTTTAATGTATGAAAATACAACCAACCTTGCAGGCAATACTCTAAAATGGAAACTTGTGCAAAAGCTCAAAACCCCTTTAGTAGCCTGAAGTAAATGACTTTAAAAAATTATCAAAAAATATTTTTCTTGTCAATTAATCATTTTACATATTTTATTTGCTGCTTCAAAAATAGGATGGTGAACCAGAAAACAACAAAGGACACAGCATAAAATAAATAAACATCAACTACAAACATTCAAATAATTACAATAGTCAAAAGTGTTTATAACTTTCTAACCTAATTCTTCTTTTTAATATTACAAGTAAAATATCAGAGTTGTCAACACCGACATAACCTATAACAGGTTATGTCGATGGTTGCACAGACTATATACGATGGTTGTCAATTATAAAACGCCTGAAACATGCGCAACCATTTTTACGTGAATATGGTCAAATACAATTACCAACTAAGATTTACCAACGTAGATAGGTGTTTTTTCTGTATGTGATATATAGAGAAATTTTGAGATTTAAATAATGGATTCGAAAACCTCAAATTATGCTGAAATGCAGAAAAAAATTCAACTGGAGCTGGAAGATCTTCAAAAAGAAGAGGTAATGTAGTCCTGGCGGTGATTTATACTATATTCTAAATACTTTTATAGGATTTACTTATTCAGAATCTTAACAACATGCTGAATCAAAAAGTGTTCTTGGGAGACAAAATAAAAGGCCTCTCAAAAGTCGTACCCACCCTAAAAATCATCAGACATGAAGCAGAGGATCTGGTAAATACCGTAAACGATATTTCAGACTCTTCAGAGAAAATCAGTGGTAAAATAAGGTCACTTGATAGTGCCAGGGTAAAGATTTCATTTCCGCCCAGTCAATGTCCCTATATGTATTTTCTACTTATAGAGTCATGTAGATGAATGCCAGTTGCGGGTAAGTGATCTGATCGATCTGGAAATATGTTCCCAAGGCGTTCAAACTGCGATTCTGGACTCTGACTACGAAAAAGGAGCTGCACACGTCCATAGATTTTTGTCCATGGATCAGGTAAATTCCATAAAAACAGTATAGGTTAGATTCAACGTAAGTCTATTTGTCCCTCAACCACAATTGACAAGGGTTTATTGTGGCTCACACCATTTCCATTCAACAAGAGGAAGATTAAACTGTTTGATCTTCCTCTTGAAGATGATCACTTGGTGATCGAAACGTGAGTAAATGCACACCAGCAAAACTGTTCAAGCAAATCTGTTCAAGCAAATCTTATAAACCAAAATATATCTGCAAGTTCCAAATATTATTCATGTGTGGCAGCAGGGTTTCATCAATTAGAATTCTATAAACACAAATTTATTCTTATTCTCAAACGATTGACACAATTTATGATGAATTCTCAAAAGCTCTTGACGAACTGAATCATGTAATATTGCATTCAAAGCTTAAAAAAATTGTTATCAGTCAAGGTTCATTAAACAATTATCTCCAGATCACAACTTTGTGGTGAAATTTAACGGGTGTATTTCCGATTCATATAGAGTCAACTCGGGTGTTCCACAGGGATCAAATATTAAGCCTATTTGTTTTATTCATCAATGATATAAAATTTTGCTTGCATTTCTCCATAGGACTACCATTACCAAATACTTTAAAGAAATTCCAGATGTTAGAGATTTTGTTGCTCTACAAAAAGACATTGATAGAATGAGTAGATGAATTGTAATTACTAAAAAGCTCCATTGTAGCTGAGTTTTTGTCAGAGAGACAAATGGGTACCGCCCTTCACGGTGGAGACAGCATTTCAAAATATCACCTGGTTATATTAGATGGGTTGTATCCCAGCAATATTCCATAGTTGGGATGAATTTGGATCAAGAGAAATATACGGTTCGCAGAGTGTTAATGTTCGTTAGTTGTCTAATATTGAAAAAAGAAATTGAGAGCTTTTAGTTCAGTTGTCTAAGATGACTCCACCAGCAGAGCTTCTCATCGAGTGTGAAGCCTAACAATTTTACATTTTTTTTCTCTTTGTAGCGATGTATTGGGGGTAACTAGCAGCTTCTGTTATTTATTAGCCTTATTCTTGCTTCTGCAGCAAGGGTATTCAAAAAATCGTAATCTTTGTGGCTAACATATAAGAGTTTTGTCATCAGTAAATAGAATATTATCGTATGGAAATAGACATTGGCTTAGGTCATTCATATATATTATGAATAACAGTGGCCCCAAAATAGAGCTTTGTGGCATACCAAATTGTCAAGGCATGCTGAATATAATGTAACTTATAAATTATATACTATATTATATACAAATATACTGGGACTCAAATTATTCAACAAATGTAAACATGCTCAAATCAACTGTTTTCTGTTAAAAAACTTTTTTATTCCCTGTCAAATTTCATTTAATATTTCATTGACAATATTTATTGCATACTCTTCTCCTTTGTATAATGTTAAAAATGTATCTTTTTTTTTATTTCAATGTTTGTAACATTTCCTATGCACTTGTGTGATTGTCTTTAAAAGGAAAGTTTCATTATAGTATCTTCTGAAAAGAACTGCCAATGATATGGACAACGTTAGCAACATGCTTAGATCTGTCCGAACTTTGCAAGATGCAGCAAGCCAACTGCGGGCTATAGTCGAGCACAAATTCAATGAAGCAGTCAATAGCGAGGATCTGGTCTCCATCGAACGGTTTTTCAAGATATTCCCTTTATTGGGTATGCACGAAGAAGGCATAAAAGAGTTTTGTACGTATTTGCGAACTAAAGTTGCTCTGGTGGCCGAAAAGAACTTAAAGTCTGCCATGAACACTCCCCCTTCGGATAAAAGACACAGCGTTATCTATGCAGACACTCTGACCTTACTTTTTGAGGGCCTAGCGCGGGTGTTGGATACACATCAACCTCTCATCGAAACTTATTATGGACCCGGAAGACTTCTGTCAGCTATAAAAATCCTGCAGAAAGAATCCGAAGTTCAAACAAAAAGAGTACTATTGGAATGGTCTAAGACGAGACAGATTAATAAGAAGATTCAAGTTATCAATGAGTTATCGAGGATGAATTCCAGCTCTAGTTTCAGTAAACTGGACAAAATTGATCCCAAGGATTTGGATATTCTGATTGGAGAGATAACGCTGATGCATTTCAGGACCGAACTGTATATCAGGTTCATACAAAGAAAAGTCATAGTGAGTATCAAATATTTCAGTTCAATACAACTTGATTTGTCCCAAGAAACTACAAGGTTTACAATAGGGGAAAAGGGAATACAATATACATATGAAAACAAAAATAACTCAATACATTCGTGAATAAAATAGTCTTTTTGGCTTTTCATATAATGATGGATAACTAGAAAGCTAAAAGATTTTTTCCAAAAACTAAAATCTTGAAAAAAAATATTTCGTTTTAAATTAAATTTAATTCAGTATTTAAAAAAAAACTATGAAAAAAATTATAAAAATTGATTTTTCATATAACCAAATGGAAAGAAATGGTAGTTCCAGTAAATCAGTGTTGATATTTCACAAGAGAAGAAAAAGTTATATTTTTAGTTGATTAATCTAAAAAAAACTACAAGTCAGTGGCGTATTTTTTTTTCTCTAATATTGTTGGCTGTGGTGCTCCCTGAGACTCCACTGGACCTAATAATTTCAATCTAGTGAGGGGTAAATAAGCGCCTTATTACGTCAAATAACTGAAGAAAATTTCAACCAAGTCGGTGTAAGGATATTTATGATATTTTATAAATAACGTTTTTTTTTTTTTTAACTTCAACGCCCTGTATCTCAGAAATGAAGCAACTTCGGACATATGTTCATGAAAACTTTTTCTGAAGTTTCTTAGGTACCGTAGTTAGGATACACCCTGTATAACAAGAGATGAAAGTGTAATTAAAATCAAATTAAATAACCTAAATCAATAATGAAAAAATGCGAAGAAAATACAAATTACAATTACAATTTTTTTGGAATTTTACACTCATTGCTTATTCATTTTGGCATTATTTCTGTTTTAACTCGTCTGAATATTTCAGTTTGATTATTTTATGTATTATCAGTAATTTTAGCATTTCATTCATTTTCATTGGATTTGTTCCTACAAAGTCTGTCAAAACCTATATAAATCTAAAGAAATGAACTTTAAACGTTCAAGGCAGTCTCGAATATACCTACACAGTAGATTGAATGGACTGACGCCTATCAGAAAATAACTACTCCACTGGCTAATACCACGAACGGCGTTGGATTATATCCGACAGGCATCAGTGCAAGAATCTTCACAGAAAATTTCCTGCATATGCAATTGGCAATACAACTGAAAGAGTCGACCTTCAATTCTGGAACGGGCACACTTGCAGACCGGTTTCGGGCTCATTAGCCACTCGTCAGTGCAAGGTAGTGGCCATCATCGACCTAAAGTCAATGATATTCCATAATTGAAAATCGGAATTCTTTCAGAGTATTTCATTCCTCTTCCTAAGTTGGAGCGAACAACAAAATGTCACTCCATCTGGTGGACGAGGTTGGTTGGTTAGTACCTCGTGGAAATTGGCGCGCTTTTTTGGCCTTTGCTCTTCCACTGGGACGATTGCACCTTGTTTTCGACGTCATAACGAGGGTGAGCGTCGTCATTCACGTTTTCTCGAACTTGTAAACATTTTTGTGACTCAGAGTAAAGTCACCGTATGCCACTGTCAACAAGTCTTTTAGAACACTAAATTCCATTTATTAAACAAAATTTGATACAAATTCTTCGATCCATTTTTCGATAGCAGAAAATGGCAATCACGCAAAACACTTCTAACTTTTATGCCTCTTACCAACAAACAACAATATCTTCACCTACTACAAGATGGCGGATCATTTAATAATTTTCTGAAGACAAACACATTAATATCGATTTTACTAGAAATATTCCTTTTCATCTGCCATATGGCAATTCCAACAACCCGATAAGGTTTGTTAAGTTATTTTTTGTTTATAAAAACGACAAAAAATGTCAGTACGACAATGAACATCTTTGTTCAGTTGAAATATTCTCATTTAGTTTTCGATTTTACTAGTAGAAAGGTACCACCTCAACAATTTCTAACTTGTATCCACATTCACAACTACCGGTAGTGTACATAACAAAAAGTCCCCAGGTCATCCGTCCATTTCGGAAGAACAGCAAGTGCAAATAATTGGTGAGATGGTAGTAAATTCTGAACAGTCTACTTATTCCGTCGCGAAGTCTCCTTCTACTATATCAAGACCTTTGAAGAGGAATAAGTATCATCCATACAAAATTAAAATGATACACCAATTAACTGAAGATGACCCTGATCGAAGAACAGAATTCTGCAAAATCATGATGGAAACCATCCTAACTATCTCCACAATATTTGTTTTTGTGACGAATGTACATTTTTTTAAATGGCAATGTTCACAGACGAAATTGCCTTTATTGGAGTGACACCAACCCTCACGTTTTCGGGGAAATACATACCCAATATCCAGATAAAACTAACGTTTGGGCAGGAATATTGGGAAACCATATTGTAGGACTTCTATTTATTGATCAAAATTTACCAGGGGAACTGTATTTGTATATGCTGGAAACTACTGGTGACCCTCTCATCACTGAAATCGTCCAAGCAAATCCTAATGAAATCGATATGGATATTGTATTCCAACAAGATGGAGCACCACCACATTATTCCAGACAAGTAAAAAACAATTTGGATACTACTTTTCCCGATCGATGGATTGGCCGTCGAGGTCCTACAGAATGGCCAGCCCGCTGGCCAGATTTGACACCTTTGGACTTTTTTCATGGGGCTATTTGAAGCAAAAGATGTACGAAACTGAACCTGTTTCAATATTGGATATACGGTAGAGAATAATAAATATTTATAGAGATATTGATGTTACATATATCAAGAAGTTCAAGGCAACCATTTCGAGCATCTTCTGAACTGACCTCAAGCTTATTACCTCATATTTCCTAGTTAAATGTCAGCGTATTCAGGCAATTATCGAAAGTTCCGCCATTTTGTAGTCGTTGAAGATATTGACATTATATTCTAGGGTTGTGAAGCATTTGTCAGGAGCTTCAAAAAGATGTGTCACAAGACCCTCCTTTCCATTTAATTTTTTTTCCCAGATGGCGCCCAGTCGCCGTCTTGAAAGTTTTATCTGTCAATTTCACTTCAAAATAAAGTATTCATGCATTAATTTAATTATCCCAAATTAAATTTTTTTGAGTTGACCTGTTCAAAAAATAAAAGTGGGGGGAGACATTAAAGAAATGCACTGTACTTTTATAAATATTTGAAATGTAAGAGTGGAGAAATCAATAAAATAAATGATGAAAATATAAGAATAAATGAATAATAATTAGTATTATGTAACATTGACCACTCCTTTCTTTCTATCTTTCAGTCAGATGCCGACGTAGGTATCGCAAACCAAGAAGAAAAGAACAAGATTCTGGTTTCTTTGGAACAGCTTGTGAAAAACAGTGAACTGAGTCAATGTAAACACGAACTTTTGTCGCACTACATCAGTCTGGAACAGTACTACATGCAGGAGTCGGTAGCTAAAGCTATCTCTATGGACACTTTAGAGCCTGGGCAACAAACATCCAGTATGGTGGATGATACGTTTTTTATTATTAGGAAGTGCATTAGGTTGGTTTCAATAATTAATTTCAAACAATCTGAAGAGAACATTCAGATGCTATATATAAATAAAGTTTTCATCTCAACCCTGAACAATTAATTTATCTTGTCAACTAACTACTGTGCTAAGGTTCTCATTGTCTCTTTACCTCTTCCGCCTGTTTCTGGTAATTTCAAATTTTTTTACCATATGGCAAATACTAGCGACCGCTACGGCTTCGCACGGGTGCAATGCTGATACTAAATATAAATTCATCCACCAGAAATTTAAGGGCATGGAGAAACAGAAAGGTAATTTTCATATGTAAACGCGCCCCTTTTACCCCCACGGGGGGCGCCCCAGTTGGAATATTTGAAAATCAGAGTCTGCCTCTAAGACTTGAGAAGCACTTACCAGTAGGGAGAAACAGATGAATGAGTTTTAGGTGACTTTCGCATTTACGTATAGATTGCGTTTGTCTATGGGAGCATATTTACTCATTCTAGAGTTTGAAAAAAGATCTTCAACATAATTTCCGCTCTGGAGTCCAAGTTTCTTATTTTGAATAACATTTAATCCTTGATGACATTACTTACTCTCAGTGAGCTGCCCTTGTGAAGTCTTGATCAATAGGAACATTGAGAAACCGAACAGTCTACATACTAGATCATCGTTTATTCAGACCCTTGTTGTTTCTGATGATCACTTTGTGGAAATATACCTTATCAGCTCAGAGACGTTCAAGGATGAGTAATTTTTATTGAAATGTAATATGAGGTTATTCACCAAATGGAGCAAAGCTCCGATAATATTTGAATAGATCATGCAGTTCATAAATGTAAAGCAGGCTTAGAACAGGTCCCAAAATATAGTCCTGTAGAATACCAGTAGTACATGTTAGGGCTGTAAACTTAATTTTTGTTCCAAATTGTTATGTGAGATATTTCGGTACAGTTGAAGATTACTCTCAAAAACCTTTATTTCAAACGTTTTTTGGGAATGTTTCTTTTTGTTTTTAATATTTGGTAAAGGTTACATCTAATTTCATTTTAGGCGATCAATATCTACCGGATCTCTGGATGGCATATGCGTTATTATAAATAATGCCTGTAGGGTCCTAGAAAGTGATTTTGGAGAAGTCCTAAGGAGTAGATTGAGGCAGGGTTATCCTTCAGGATATTTGGATTTGACACAAGCTTATAATGTCCTCCAAACATCTATACAACAGGGTAGATTGCAATCTGGAGACACGGAACAGTCAAGGACAGCTTTTATTGTATGTTATTCAGTTTGCTAATAATAAAAATGGAATTATTTATGCTTGACCCAGTTCTCTGTGTGTTGTTCACTTTTTGGCCAATTTTCCAGTCGAAATTTCTCAATTTAGGTGGCTTTGAACAACGCAGATAGCAGCACTAATTATGTGGAAACTCTTTGTGGTTGCGTCATGCAAGAAATCGATCAGGCGTTGCCAAACATGAACCAAAACGACAGAGGAAAACTGGAAAGCTGCCTTTCTGGTCTATCGTTGGTAACTACAAACCTCAAAGATATTATTGAATACGGCATACAACAGCTGAGGTCGACCTCTATAAAACCTAGAGTGAATCCTTGGGTAGATTCGTTCCTAAATATAAATCACCATTTGACAGAAGTGAGTATGTTGTTGAATAATGCGAGGTGGCTCTTCTATTTTTTTTATTGAATCGTTTTTAAGGATGAACTTTCGGCTTACGAGGCTGGCGAATCCTTCGTACAAACGTTGATTATGAATTTGGAAACGTTCCTTTCTTCATTCAAGGACGTTTTGTCGTCGTCCAATTATGATTATTTCACGCAAGTTTTGACGGCTGACGTTACTCAAAGACTGGAGAAAGTAATTTTGAAGAGTACTTTCAATAGGGTGAGTTCGGATAGAATTTTAAATCGTTTAAAAAAGTTTAGGGAAAATTTAACGTTATTTTGGCTCACTAGACTATTTGAAAAATTTTTAACTCTAGTATGCTGACTCGCTGAAGGGCACTTTTATTATTAACACGTCATTATGTGAAATTTAGTTTTGAAATTGATTAAAAAAGGTTCATGATTCATTGCAATGTAGAGTTTTTAACTTACCTTTATTTTCATACATGTCACCAAGACAGGAGAAATTAATATCTCTTATCTTTCTGAAATTACTGAAAAAACGAATACATTAATACTGCTTTGGATTGTTTCAACATGTTGATTGGTTTGATGAAACAGATCGATGAAAACAAAACTAGAATGAATCAGATATACTTTTGAACAGATCTCTATTGCTACACTTTTCAGTAAATCACTTGCTAGAATAGAAACAATAATCAAGATCAATAAATTTAAAACGTACTTCCAGGTATGGCACCTTACAATATTGGAGATTATTTCGTTCACAGTTTTTACAAGAAATATTTTATTTGTACATCACTCGTATATCTACACAATATTGTTGTTTTTCTTGTATAGTCTATCCATTCCCAAATGGAGCGACAATAAAAATAAGAGAACAGTCATAAACATTTCTTGCCTGTGGCCCCTAGTGGCCCAGATATTAAAGGTGCTATCAAAGCAGCAAGG